GCCAAAAAAGATGGAAGAAACCCAAGTGTCAATTGATAGATGAATGGGCAAATGAAATATGCTATACATGTGTAATGGAATATTATTCACCCACAGAAAGAAATGAAAATTTATGTATACCACAATTTGACTGGACCTTGAAAACATGCTTAGTGAAATAAGCCAGACGCAGAAGGACAAATATTATGATTCTACTTACATGTTATACCTAGAATACATGAATTCATACAGACAAAAGGTAGAGTAGATATTACCAGGGCTGGGGGTAAGAGGGAATGAAGAGTTATTATCCAATGAGTTACAGAATTTATGTTTCAGATGATAAAAAGTTTTGGGTATATATGATGATGATGATTACATGACAGTGTAAATGTATTTAATGCTACTATGTTTTACGTCTACAGGTGGGAAAAATGGTAACTTTTACATTGTGTGTATTTTAACACACTTTTAAAAATTAGGTTGTGGAAATGTTTGCACAACTCTGACTATACTACCACTATGGAATTGTATAATTTATACAGGTAAATTGATATGTGGGTTATATCTCAATAAAGATGTTTTTAAAATATCCTTTTCAGCTATGATAGTCTCTATGATACATCTATTTGTTCATTTATTTATTCATCGATTCAACACATTTTTTTGAGTTCTGCCATTTCAACTGTTATGAATAGGGTGACAGTAAACCAGACATGATCCTGGCCCTTTCCTTGCTTAGAACACTGTGGGTATCAAAAAATAATCATAGCCAAGATTTGCCTAGTATTTCTTACAAACTGAGCATGGACACATGCATTTTACATCCCGTGTCTCCTGGGGTCCTCACACACATGTACTGAGTTGGCTTCTGCTTGAATAAGGAAATTTGCTCAAGGTCATGGAGCCAGGATTTGAACCTGGTCTGTCTTACCTCAGACCCTGTGCTCTTAATCATTCAGCACCACTTGTGGCAGTTGAGTTCCAGCCACTTAGAGTTGGGGCCCCCCTGAAGACCTGCCTTGAGGCCAGCCTGTCAGGCCCGCTGATCTGGTAGCGTGGAAGGGAGAGTTCAAATGAGGTGGAATGACCTCCAGGAGGTAGTTGGTGGGGTTGGAGAATATGGCCTAAGTCAGTAGAATCTTGAAGAGCCATTTATAGTAATCATTATAAAGTAAGTATAACTATATTTTAAAATGGTTTTGGGATAGAATTTTAAATACAAAGTTGAATTCATAATTGAATGTATATTAATTATATTAATAGCTAATATATTTATTATAAATTAAAACAGACCCTCTGTTCTAAGTGATGGACATGTATTATCACCTTATTTAATCGTCCTGACAGATCCATGATGTGTAGGGTGCATTCCTATTTTTCGTTTACAGATAAGCAGCTGAGGCACAGAGGTTAAGTAATTTGCCCGAGGTTACACAGTCAGTGTCAGGGCTAGGATTCCTTGGCTTGGAGCCCAGACTCTTAACCACCATAGAACTTGCTTTTGTCAATTGTGTTAAAATATGCAGATTGGGTGGACATGAAACTAGTATCAGAGTGGGAGAATATTGGTAATTTCCCACCTTTTTCCCCCAGGTAATTTATTTTTTATTTTCTAAGAATACATCAATTATGATAGGAATGATTTTTGAGACCAAGAAAACACATAGGACCTTTTTTATCTCCTCACTTCCCCACTGTATTCGGTCGTGTGTGATTTTGAAGTTGCGTGCGTGCCTGCACAGACTGAGCCCGCGCCCTGGAGCACGCAGGCCGTGACGCAGCCTGCCAGCCTGTGTCGCACGTGCGGCTCCTCTGTTGGCTGCAGCGGCCTGGACTGGCAGCTGCAATCTTCTGTGAAGGGTGTGTCCTATTCTCACCATACTCTTAGAGACACTGAAGGTCTTTCTGTAATAAAAATAAAAGTGTTTTAACTTGTAAGAGAGTCTGTGTTGGGCCATGGTTAAGAGCAGCACATTAACTGGATTCTCATCCTAGCGCCGTAGCCCTCCGTACCTGCGCGGCGGCTCGAGCCTCAGCTTCGTCCTTGGACGATGGAAATAACAGAGCTGTTTTACAGGGTTATTGTGGGAATCCGACTGGACGGTGTTTGCAATGACCTAAGGTGGCTGGCACAGCGCAGGGTAAATGAAGAACATGGTATTTCGAGGTTTATGTAGCAGCTGTTGGGTTATTAATTCATGGGGTTAAACACCTTTCTGATATTAACCACAGGTACTTCTTCTTTTCTGAATTGCCTGCTCTCGCCCCTTCCTCATTTGTCTATTGGCATCTTGACATTAGTGTGTTTGAGTCAAAGACTAAGAGCCTTCTGCAAGGCTCCAGCTGGAGGGAGGGACGATGCCTTTGTTTTTATCCAAGGAGCATTTTGCGCAGGTTGAGTGCTGCTTTCTCTCTTCCTGCGACTGGTCCTGTTTCCTTCCTGAGAAATTGTCACCCGCTTTAAAGGGTCAGTCGTTAGAATCACTGATTTCCTCCCCCCGGGAATGCCGCAGCCACAGGTGTGACACGCACGGTTTCTCTTCTCCATTCTTTCCATTGCATTCTGTCAGAATGGCCATGGCCATAACTTGCCTGCTCCGAGGGGCTCTGTTTCAGCAGCTCCTGCATCTAACAAAGGGACTTCTCCTCAGCCCTGCACACAGACTACACACAGCTGTTCCTGAGCAAAGGGCAAAAGCCTAAAGGACCACTTAGATGGAAGGCACGTTCTTAAGACAGTTCATCTCCTTTTCCCACTTGCCTGGTGCCCATCTTGCCTGACTTGGACAGTCCACCTTTTCCCCACTGTAGCACAGAAGGGGCAGAGATAGAAGGTTTTTAAACTGCAAGAGGAATCAACCCTCTCAGGCAAGCAACTTCTGCCAGAAAAGTTCTTGTATATATATGTTTGTTCCAGGGGATGCTCCAGGTGGCTTGGTGATGACATGCAGTTGGCTACTGGTGTTAAGACGTATGTCTGAGTGAGTCAGAGGGGTGGGGATATGATGGTACCCAAGACATGGCAAGGGCCAGAAGCCATGGAGGGGATAATCAAAGAAGCACAGACTCCCCTAGAGAGAGTTGTTGGGGTATCCCATGAAGGCCTTCCCTCCACGTGAGGTCACTTTTGCTTGGACAGCACCAGCGTTGAAGCTTACATCCTGTATTCATGTGTCTCCTGTATTCACCTGCATGCCCAGGTCAGGCCATGTGATTCAGAGTAGAGGATATTAGACTGGGAGACAGAAAAATCTAGGTTTGAGTTGAGGCTTTGCATGTTTTTTTTTTTTTATCTTCGTAACTTAGCAAACTTTGTTTTGTCATCTAGAAAATGTAGGATAATATTCCCTGTTTGGACTACCTCCTTGCTTTACCACGGAGTTAAATTAGTGGACTGGACAAGTTAGACAGACACAAAAGACAGGAGAATCTCTCCTCCTCTTAGAGATGTGGGAGGTGAGTGCGGTGTCCTTGTCCTGGCATCTCTGCAGGACCCACAGAACTGAAAGCGCCATTTCTCTCCAGAGACAGGTCTGGAGGCACTGGGGATTGTGTGTGTGTGTGTGTGTGTGTGTTTTCCTGAGGGTCTTCTGTCCTGGCATCTGAGTCAAGCTGATCAGTGGCCCTGCTAGGAGCCTGGTACCTTCTTCCCTCATCCTACCGTCTTTTTTAATCGGATGAGAGGCCTGGGCGCTGGTGGAAAAGCAGAGGTGCTTCCTTGGTGCTGGAGGTCACCTGGGTTTAGAGGCGTCAGGACTGTGGATAAGTTCAGTGTCACAAACCGCAGCGCATCTTGCCCAATGCTTGTTGGGGAGCCAGACACAAAGGCGGGAATCAGGGTGATGCCTGCTGCAGGAGAGGGCAGACGGGGCAGTGCCAGCGGGGAAGGGTGGCCCCTGCACTTGGAGGGGTGCTGAGCGGAGCCTGGGGCACAGGTGGGAACTGGCTGGCCAGGGTTTCCGGCAGCATGTTGGGTCTCACAGGAAAGATGCAGCTCTGGAAGTGAGCCTCTCAGCTGTGTGTCCTGCACAGAGAAGACTGTAATCTGGGAGAGGAAAAGAGAACGCTTCTCTTCCTCATGCAGGAGACTGGAGGGGAAGAGTGAGCAGCTGAAAAGCCACCAGGCTGGTTACACAGAGGGCTGCTTGTCACTCAGCCTTGGGCGAAATGTTCTGTCCTTCCAGGCATTCTCTAGCCAATTTGAGAGGATGGCCAGAGGTCATCTTAAATCTATCAGAGAGGTATTTTGCTCTTCAGTGTATATATATATATATATATATATATATATATATATATATTTCATAGAACCTCAGAGTTTAAGATATATTTCAGATTTTTTTTATTCTGATGGTTTGGTCTGTGTACTTAGTAAATGGAAGAATACTCTTAGTGGTTGAGAAGAGTGAATGTCCCATGTCCATCACTCCACCCTGTGCCCTTCAGTCAGTGTCTGAGCCTCTCTCTTGAGCAAGAGGCTCTAGAACCTCAAGGAAAATGAGGACTGTGACAGGGTGTAGTGGGAACAACACAGGGCCCTGCCTGGGGAATCTTCGTTTTCAGCCAGAGTTGGCTGGGAAGTCCCTGAGACCGCCCCGTCTCTCCTTCCTTCTTCCCCTGTGTGATGGGGTGCCATCCCCATCTAGCTGCCTGAAGCTGGTGTGAGGATAAAGGGGACCCAGGATGGAAAGTGCTTTCCAACTGGACCGGGCTGGATGCAGGCAGCATTTCAGGGTGACACTCCGCCTCTGGCAGCAATTTCAGCGTGGGTTAGACAGGAATCTGCCCTGGCCTTTGCAAGCACATCTCAACTGGCAGTGTCTGTGAAGGTCAGAGCTGCTTCGACTATCTTACCAACGGGGCTTTTTTTTTTTTTTTTCTAGGACAGCCTCCTTTAGCTAGAGCCACAGAAGGGAAAGGGGACAAGGTTTCTATACTCCTGACCCTGCATTTGGGAGCCCAGAGGACCTTCTGGCCCCCCTTTGACAGCACCTGTGCCCCATCCCCCCTATCTCCTTCAGGTCTAAGAGTGGTGCTGGATTTGGAGAGCCTGAAACCTCTGTGCTGTGCCTCTCACCTGCCTCTGCTCCAAAGAGCTGCGGCCGCAGTGGGCTGGCTGGGACTCTGCAAGGAGCCTGCCTGGGACACCGAGACCTTCCTCCTTTGCAGCTGCCTTCTCCCTGGCTCCAGCATCTGCCTCTCTGAGATCTCTGGTCTGTGTTGCAGTTAAAAACCGTGCCTGGAGCTGGATCCTTACAGTAGGTACTTTCTTGCTTTTTTTTTTTTTTTTTCCTGCTGAAATTGGGTGCATTTCAGCGCTTGGGGCAGCCAGCGCCGGGAACTCGCTGGTCATTGTTTCTGTCGCCGGCTCTACCCCAGACTCCCAGACGCTGAACTATCAGGGCGGCAGGTGGTCTGGGGGTTGCTCACAGAAGCTTCGCAGGGTTGCGGGACGGCAGGAGGCCGGTGGGGGAGGAAGTTTCTCAAGCAGAGCCAGGAAGAAGGAGATGCAAGACTGGAGGGTTTCAACCCTGAGGAAGCTGTGTCCTCATTAGGAGCGATTTTGCTAATGAGCCACAGCAGCTATGGGAAGAAAGGAGGAAAGGCATAATTATTTAGGACCTCCCAGATAAGCACCTAGATTTGGGGGGGTCAGGGGAAGAGACGTGTGCTGTTTTAGTGTGTTTAGATGTGGTCCTCTGAAGTGGCAGCAGCTCTGGGAACTAACTTTCAATTAATTGAAGGATCTGAGCTTTTTTTTCCTTTTTTGGCAAGATCCGGTATCAGCTCATTGAGCCTTGAATTCCCTCCTGACCCCACTCCCCTGTTGCCAGAGAGTGAAAAGGAAGTCAGTATTTGCTTTTCCATCAAGGTCACAGATCACCTGACCAAACCCTCGAACAGCTGGGGAGCCAACGCTACAGAGCTGAACTCACAAGCAGCAGCCCCAACCTTGCTGGAACCTCGCTTTCCATGAGGGGGCCATTCCTCCTGCCCCAGGCTATGGTGGGGGGTGGGAGGTGGGGAGACAGGTATGCCAAGAGAAGGTAATGTGGTCCCAGCTTTTCTCTCGTGACAGTTTCCTCTTCTTCACGAAGCTCCACATTCAGCTGCTGCAATGCAGGCAAAAGTGACAGACATTCGCAGAAAAATGTGGGAAGGGAGTTAATGAGATTGCATTCATATGTCGTTTATTGAGCATGAGTTATCTCTTTGTTTCTTGGGTTGGTAGGAAGTTAGCCGGCTGGAGAACTCAGTTGGCAGGATCCTTTTCAGGAGTGCACTTCACCTCCCCGGGTGTCTGGGCTGCAGCACGGCCAGATGCCTCCTGCTTCTTAGCACAGGGGACATTGACCCTCGGAGGCAAGGGGCCCTGGAACAGGGAAGCTCTCATCGTTTTGGCAGGACCCACACGAGGTATGGGTAATCTTTTCTTTTTTTGGAGAGTGCTTTGTCTTTGCAAGTGGTTGTGCGTGGATTGACAGGCTCGCTGTCTGGGGCACTACCTTGCTGAATATTTGACTTTGTAAGGTTGACTTCTCCAAGAATTCTTGTTGCAATAAGGCTGTGCTTTGAGCCAAGCTTTCTTTTCAAGGAAATCCAAGGTGCTATTTATTTTGGCATGTAGCCTGTTTTGGGAAGAAATACAGCATTTTTATTATTTCAGAATAAAGAGAGGTTTGATGAGAACGAAAGTACAGAACTGGGTTTCAGTTTCAGGACGAAGTAAAGGGAGGTTTCTTTAAATTTGGATTTGAGGTTAGAAATGAAGTGTAAATGGCATCATCAAAGAAATGAATGTGCTGAGTGTGGACTGCAGCACACATTTCGTCGGGGCTGACCCCGAGGAAATCCGTGCCCCCGGGCGTGGACCCTGCTGGAACTGTCTCTAACGTGACCTGGCAGTTGCACATCAGGCCATCACTGCTGTCTGCCAGTGACTGCCTTTGGTGGCCTTTGCAAGGACAACCTAGTCCCCACCTCTTCACTGCCTGTTGGCTTTGAGAGGCAATGTGGAGTGATGGAGTCACACAAACTCTCCTTCCCCAATTAACTTGGTAGCTTTGTACTGGCCACATAGCCTCTTTGTGTCTTTGTTTCCTCACATGTAACTTGGAAGCAATACCCTGGACTGAGGGTCAGCCACTTGTGAGAATATGGGAGTTGGGGTGGGGTGGGGTGGGGGGGAGGTGGGTACAGAAATGAGTCCTGCATGAATTCTGACCTTCCCCAGCTTACAGATTAGTAGGGGAGAAAAGCTGGAGAGAGAGAAAGCTATGCATACTCAAAACATCTAGAATACTGGGCTAATGAGAGAGGTTGGGACCTAACTGGGCGTCCTTTCTCCTGGGATAGCTCATAAACAAATGAAAAGTTACATAGCAACATCAGATAGTACAAGGTTCCAAACACTGGGATAAAACTTAATAGAACAAGTAATAAATTGCTCTATGTCAAAATTTTAAATATTCCAGAAGATAGCAAAATTCCAATTCAAAGAGGAATTCTGTCTAACAAAGCTATTTTTTCTGTTGTACTGCAAATGAAGCCTCATGTGTTTGTGTGGCAATTATTCCTCAATTCCACTCATTTAACCACATCAAACATCCACTCATTCAAAGAAACCCCCCTTAGCTAAATTCAAAGCTGTCCAGCACTTGTCTAAGCACAAGGATCAGTGTCCACAGTGGAGAAGCCTGGGGGGTGTGGGGGCTGGAATCGGCATGATTTGGGTGTGACATGTCCCTCTTTTCCTTCCTGTGTTGTAGCCCTTCAGAGTAAAAGCTTGCTGAGCCCTCTTCATAGAGTTAGATGTCGCTCCATTTAATTTCTGTAGCTTTGGAATGTTAATTTCACTAAAATGTAAGTCTAAGAGAACCATTAATGGTCTCCATAGAATACTTTTTTAAAAAAATTTTATTTATTTACTTTTAGAGAGAGGGAAAGGGAGGGAGGGAGAGAGGGAGAGAAACATCAATGTGCGGCGAGAGATAACATGGACATTGCCTCTTTGTTGCCTCTTGCTCACCCTCAACTGTGGACCTGGCCCTCAACCCAGGCCTATGCCCTGACTAGGAATTGAACCGGACCTCTCGGTTCACAGGCTGGCACTCATTCCCCTGAGTCATACCATGCAGGGCCATAGAGTATTTTTTTAGTGAAACATGACCTAATGCGTGCTACATAATTATCTGAAATCCTTTGATTCAATATATTGAGGGGCTGAGCCCTAACTCTAGTGAAAGGCAGTGAGTGTGGTAGAACTGTCCGAGGTGATGGTGAGTTTGTGCAGCCCCAGGACCATCCGCATCCAGGTGGCCCCGCTCTTGCTCAGGGGGAGCCTCATTGCTTTGTGTCCAGCCTTGGAGAAGCAGGTCACACCTTGGCCAGTAGCCTTACAAGAGAGCACTTATCTTTCTTGATACCCAGAAAGTGTTTCATGTACACCTGTGGGAGAAGCAGAGAGGCGTGAGAGTCAGGAACACTTCCCCTTACACAGAGAGCTAGGAATCGGCCACAGCATCAGACTGGCTGACAGGGGTGGACAAGTGTTTGCAAGTCTCCTGTTCCCAGCGCAGGCTTGGAGTCAGCTAGGTTTGAGGGTAAATTCTGCTTTGATACTTGTTTGTTATGTGACTTTAAACAGGACTGTAAACTCTCGGCTTTAGCCTCCCTATCGGGAAAGTGGGAACAATAGTAATCCTCTTGGGGTTAGGGTACAGATTACACGAGGTAATTTGATTATGTTAAGTACTGCAGGTTCTACCCATTGCTCAGTAATTTTGGGGGGTGGGAGGAAGAAGGGGAGCAGAAGAGCTAGTAGAGGCCATGATGACGGAGAGACAGGCTGAGGGGCCAAGCTTAGGGTTTGCGCACTCCCCCTTTTCCTCCCCAGGCTTCACCTTGGAGCTGCCGAGCCTCTCCTGCCCGCCAGCCTGCAGCGCTGAGGTCGCTTACAGTGTCCTCTGCCTGGGAACCTTCTCTTTCTTTTATTTGTTTTAAAAAGTAAAAAGTTGTAGTTATCACAATAAAAAAAATAAAATTAAAGTTATAGTTATTTTTTAAATTGAGATATAATTGATAGAACACATTGTATTAGTTTTAGGTGTATAACATATGCATTTGATGTATGTATCCATTGCAAAATCATTACCTCAGTAAGTTTTGTTAACATCCATCACCACCCATAGTTACAACTTTTTTTTTCTCATGATGAGAACTGTGGGATCTACTGTCTTAGCAACTTTCAAATATACAAAACAATATTATTAACTCCAGTCATTATGCTGTAGATTACATCCCTATGACTTATTTACCTTATAACTGACACTTTGTACCTTTGACCCCTTTACCCATTTCACTGTCCCCTAACCCCTGGCAACCACCCATCTGTTCTCTGTGTCTGTGAGCTGGGTTGTTGTTGTTGTTGTTGTTTTGTTTTGTTCTTTAGATTCCACATATTAATGAGATCATACAATATTTGTTTTCCTCTGTGTGATTTATTTAATTTAGCATAATGCCCTCATGATCCACCCATGTTGTCACAAGTGGCAAGATTTTCTTCTTTTTGTGGCTGAACAATATTGCATTTTGTGTGTGTGTGTCTCACATTTTCTTTATCCATTCATCTGTTTATGAACACTTAGGCTTTTTCAGGACCTTTCCTTTTTAACAAAGGTGACCCCCCTCACCCCAGGTTAAAACCTTATCTCCAAACTCCAGCTCTATGCTGCTCCCAAACTCATGTACTCATTGCTTCAAAGCTGAGTGAAGAGCTCAGTGTCGGCATTCCTTCTGCAAGGAGTTCTTTGCCTACAGAAACCCTGCCTGCCCTTCTGGGCTCTGAACTGCCTGCTTAGGGAAAGGCCCTTCTGGCGGCTATGTGGAATGTGTTTTGGAGGAACCAAGGCAGAAGCAAGGCGAAGACTTGGGAGGCAATGGCAGTGCTCGCAGAAAGAGGATACACAAACCTTCCTGTTGCACAAACTTCAGACTTCCTCTTATTTGGCGGGCCTGAAAATTCCCAGTCCTCTTCTCCAGTTTACTGGTTTGTTCCCCTTTGTTTCATCCTGGGTTGCCAGAAACCAGCCCTCATCCTTCTCTCCCAGTTTCCCCCAGTCCTTCCCTCATCCCTGGCATGCACTTCTGGTCTGAGCGCATTGAAATTCCTAAAACAACCTAGTTTCCACTGCTGATGTGCCACAAATAATTCATTATGATGATGTGTGTGGAGTTACAATCACAAAAAACCAATTTCTTGGGTGATTTATTGTAATGGGGGCAGAAGGCAGGTTGTTTACCATTTGAAGACAAAGTCCTAGGAATGGATTAAAACTTTGGGGAAATTTATGATCAAACGTCAAGGCACCGTAATTCAGAGTCAGGACAGTATGCTGCTTGAATAGTTGTTGATGCCTTCTGGTCCCCCATTCTGCCCGTGATTGAAAATCACCTCTAAGTACCACTTCCTAGTCAATACTGGCAATTATCTCATTTTTATCTTGAATCTGATTGGGATGTCATAGATTGTTCGTAGGTATTTTGATTCCAACTTTTTCACAAAACAGACGATTCTTTTTGCCATGATGGGGTAAATAGATTTCAGCTTATGCAAAGAACACCATGCTGGTTATCAGAGCCCTGGGTCCAGTCCCAGCTCCTTCACTAATACACTGAGAGGCCTTGCATCAAGCAATTAACTTCCGAGCCTCAGTTTCCTCATCTGCCAAGTGAGTAGTTTGGATGAAATGCTTCTTTTGATGTCAACCATTGCTAACGTCCCAGGAAGACACACCCAAGACTGGCCCCTAGGAGTGCATCCAGACTTTTAATCTCCCTCCTGGGGGGTGGGGGCTCTGAGCTCATGGGAACCTCTGGGAGAAAGGCAGTTATTGTCATACCTTTCTCTGGTGTTATGTTCCCTCCATACTTATTCTGCCTTTAATGAGACTGTCCACTTTTCTGTCCTTCTTTCTTTCAGAGCCGTCTGACACATTGCACAGACTGAGCGGATGAAGAGTGCCTAAGAGACTGGCGGTCAGCATTCCCTAAGATGGAGAAGACAGATGGTAGGCAGGCTGCTTTGTCTTCCTTGGTCTAATGTGAGCATTTGAGTTGGAGAGGCATTGTTACTGTAAGTCCTGGAAATAGCCTAGGGGAGGCCTACAGGAGACATTCCCCAAGCAGGAGGCTGGGAGACCCAGGCCTTGTATTTCAGGCATGAATAAGAGAAGGTGGCAGGGAATGGGAATGCAGCCTTATGTTTATAACCGACTTGTATAATTTTTGGAGTGGTTTCTCATCTCTTGCAAGCACCAAGATGGGAGCAGGATGCTCTCACTCACTGCCCTCATTTTAGAGATGAGGAACTTGAAGTCTTAGACTTCAAGAAACATTTGTGCTAAACTTGAAGTCTTAGACTTCAAGAGAGGCACAATATAGTAAAATTCATACCTGTGTGATTCTCCGGGTCATTTCATTTCTCTGAGCCTCATTCTCCACATGTATCAGTTAGCTTAGCCATGTAATCAAACCACTCAAAAATGTATTGACTTAAAAATATTTATTGTTTCTTAAAAAGATTCTATAGGTTTGGCCAGGCCATTGTTCTGGTCTGGGCCTGCTTGGCTGAGCATGGTTGGGCTCATGTGGCCACAGTCTTCTGGATGACTTGGCTGATGGTTTAGAGTGGCCACACTTACATGCCTGCTGGTTGCTATGACTCCATATCACCTGGTGCATTGGTGATGATTTGGCAAGTGTCTGTCTTTGTCCAGCAGGCTCCCTGGGGGCGTGGGGGCAGGGGTTGCTCACATGGGACAGAAGGGCTCCAAGCACAGCAAGAACAAATCCCAGTGTGCAGGGGACTTTCAAGTCTCCACATATGTCAAATTTCCTGTTGGCCTACTGGCCAAAGCAAGTCACAAGATAAAGCCCAGGGTTAGTGTGGAAAGGGAGTAGTACCCAAGGGGGTGTGTACTTGCAGCTATTTTTGTAAATAGTCTATCATATCTTGCCCACAAGCAGGTATTAGTACCTACTGCACAGGGTTGGTAAAGAACTGAATGAGATAATGCATGTAAGGTTGTTGAATAACACTATTTAGCACAAATGTTTCAGGTCAGGGGGAGTGGAAGGGGGTAAATGTAGAAAACTGTACTTGAACAACAATAAAACAACTAAAAAAATGTTTCAATGAATATTTCCTTCCTCCCCTCCCCAGAAAACTAGCCAAGGGTCATAGACTAGATTCTGAAGATCTGATTTCTAAAGAAATGCTTTTTCCAGACCACGAAATGCCAGGAAACAGGGGAGCCTATAATCCCCCGTGAATCACATGGCCCTTCCCTGGCGCAGGACAGAGGGACCAGGCAGCAGCTCCGGCCCCGCCGCTTCCTTCCTTCCACATGCAGTCACTGTGTACTTCGAGAGTCTGCTTTTCTCCCCAGAGAGCTGCCTTTTCAGAGCATCCCTGGAAGGGGTCCCACAGAACACCAGCTAATTCCCTGAATGCCCTGGGGGCCTGTCATTTTTGCCTGCCTCATTTGTCCCAGCTCAGCACCCTCGAACTGCTGCTCCCCACGTGACGAACCACAGCTAGCTCAAGAAAGGCACCCCTCCCTTCAGGCACACACACCTCACGAAAGAAAGGCAGAAGAGGAAACCTTCCCTCCCTGCCTTAGCTTTTTGACGAGGCTCCTGTCATTCCTTTCTTTCCAGCTCTATTTTTGGCCACTTTCTCTCTAGTTTCTGTTTTTCCCATTTTCTTCAGAAACGGAGATAGGCTTTTGGCCTTTTTATTTTTCTTTTCTCACTTTCAGTGCCTCTGATTGGTTTGTTCACACGCCAAACCTCTCTTTGTCCCTCAAGATAATGACTGTGGCACTTTGCTTCTTTCCTTGTCCCCTTCTAATGCCCTTTCTCGAGTTGTGTGTGGCTCAGGCTCAGGGCTGTGCTGGCAGGTCCTTTCTGGGGGTCTAGTCGTCTGGTGTGCTTTCAGACCCAGACTCTGTAGGCACTCTAGGGAGCTCTGAGCTTCATATATCTTACCTTTTTTCTTCTCCCCTGACTCCTTTTCCCATTTTCTTCAGAATTATTTTCTTGGACTCTTGTTTCCTCTTGAGGTTGTAGTCCTAACACAGAGTGAAATATTCCAAGGAGAGAGCACATTTTTAGTCAGCCCTCTGCTGCCCGCCCTTGCCTTCTGGCCCCTTTGTGGAGTGCCTGCGCCATGGTCCCTACCGAATTAGTCCCAACAGTCATGACAACTCTGTGAGTTAGGCATTAGTATTGCCATGGTACAAATAGGGAAATAGAGGCACAGGGAAATTAAATAATTTATCCTGAATTACAGAGAGAGGAGATGACAGAGCCAGGATTCAAATCCAGCCAGTTTGGCCGTGTGTTGGTATATTTGATCTGAAGTTCATTCTGAGTAGAGGCAGTCTCCTAATTAATTCTTACCCTGGCCACATGCCCAGAATTCTGAGCTCCTGCATACCTGTCACCAGGTAGATATAGAGGCGGAGCAGAGCTTCATGTGAGCATAGGTCTCCCAGCATATCAGATCAAGCTCCCTCATTCAAGGGCCAGCATTTCTCACTGGAGAAAGAGGAGGGACACCGAGTGGCAAGTGGCAGGCACAGCAGCACAGTGGATCACTGGGTGTCCGTATGTCTGTGTGTCTGTGTATGTGTGTCTTAGTGATACCGCAGAGTGCCAGCGTAGGAAAGCGCCTATTAAACCCAGTGTCCTGTATAGCTGCTCAGACCCACAGACTCCTTTGTTTCCTTCCCTCTCTGTTGTGGGAGATTTTGCCTTTCAGTCTCCTGTTTCTTATTTGATGCTATTATTGCGTTTGTGCTCTGGACCCGTTCCCAGAGGCCACTGGGTAAATTACTGCATTTCTACTGAGTTGAGGCAAAAAGAAGATAAATAAATAATGCAGCCTCTTCTTTAAGACAGTTCTTTGCCTTCTGGGTCATAAATCCACTCTCCACTTAATTTTAGACAAATATCTCTTCTCTGATTTGGCCTGTCCCTGTAATCCAGAAGGCTGCTGAGTGAACCAGTAGGCCTAAGAATGTTGGAGAGGGCAGCTTGGAAAACTAACAGAGAGCAATTGCTCTCATTTACTGAAACTACCGGTGCGCCTCTTTGGGGAAAACCAAGTTGGTTTAAAAAAATGTGTTGGTAAATGTGAACTTATTTGGAGCTCTTTAGGTGCTGGAGTAGTGTTCACTCCTTATCTGCCTGGAGACCAGATATCTGCCAAAGAGTCTCTAGAACACAGCGAGGGCCATCCCGGGTACCAGCACCAGTGCTTGACTCTGTTCCCTGCCGTGGCAGGGATGTGATCACCCACAGGCCCTGCAGCTTTACTGGCATTGAGGCTGGTGGGCTCAATTGGGTCAGTGTTCATCCGCCAGCCTTCATGTGTCTGTCGGCTTTGTTCAGTTCTTTGGAGATAACAGTACTTCCCTAAGCACAGAGGGCCACCTGACAAGCATGTGACACCTGCCAGAAGGAGAAATCAGACAAGCAAGTGGGAAGAGCTCAGCCCCGATATGTTATCGCCCTTAGGGGAAAAGCAGCCCCAAGTGTGCCCTAGGTAGCACCAGCATTTGCATCTTTTCTTTAACCTGCCCCCTTCCCTCCCTTGCTTCTACTTCTCTCACCTTCATGGGGTCAGCAGTCTCCCAGCTGGTCTTCAGACCTCTGCTTCATGCTCCATCTCATCCTCTGTAAGAATGTTCTTTGTGAAATCGCATTTGACCAAGTCACTCCCTTGTGCAAAACCCTTCAGTAACTCCCATTACCCAGAAAGTAAATTCAGAACTTGTTGGCGCCTGCTGATCTTTCTGATTTTGTCTTTTTCTATTCCTCGCCCCTCTCTACCACACTTGAAGTCATAGCCCTAACAACCCTGAATTACTGTGGAATTTCACACCTCCATGCCTTTGTACATTCTCTGACACATATATAGGATCTGCCCTGGCTATCTATTGCTGCATAACAAACCCCCTCTAAACTTAGTGGCTTAAAACAATCATGTGTTATTAACACAGGCTCAGTTGACTGGTTCTCACTTGGGTTTCCTCCTGTCATTGAAGTCAGATGATGGCTGAGGCCAGAGTCATCAGATGGCTCTTTTATTCATGCCTGGTACCGGGGCCAGGATGGCAGGACTGGCACAGGCCAACCAGGCATCTCTCTCACTCTCTCCACTTGATCTCTCTGTGGGGCTACTTGGGCTTCCCCACAGCACGGCCATTTCAGGGAATTTGGACTCCTTACATGGCTTCTGGCTTTTCACAGAGAGTGCATTCTAAGAGACCTAGGCAGGACTTACAGGATTCTCACGACCTAGTCTTAAAATTCTGTCAGCATCAAAGCTGCCTTTTTTTTTTTCTTCTTTTTGGTCAAAGCAGTCACAGGCCAGCCCAGATCCAAATAGGTGGAGAAATAGACCTCACCTCTCAAAGTGAGATCCCCTGGCCTGTCTAGAGAGGGTAGAAGCTGATGGTGACCATGTTGAAGATACAGAGCTACAGTGTCTTTCACCCTTTTATTCTGGTAAACTGCTATTGGTTCATTTAACACCAGTCATACAGGATCTGGCACAAATAATGCCCCTGTTTTATTACAAAATCATAAGCATGTAATTCTGTAACATAAAATATCACATTCAAGCACACCATGTGACATTTTAGGTGAAATGTTCAAATTGCTGTCCATCTCGTGTAAGATATTCACATCCCCTACCGACTACACTCAGTGATGTTACTTCTGCCAGACCCTATATGTCACTTTTGTGAAGTCATCTTTTTTCTACCAAAGCAGAATTAACCTCTAAGTTTAAGAAAATGACTCCAGCTAACCTGGGAAAATAAATCGGGAGGGGAGACTGTTCCTTAAGCATGTATTTATTATTGTCCTTGTCACACTGCATTGCACCTGTTGGTGTTTCCAGCTACTCAGTCATATGTTTTTTGTTTGTTTGTTTTAAATATATTTTATTGATTATGCTATTACAGTTGTCCCATTTTTCCCCTTCATTCCCCTCCACCCTGCACACCCTCTCCCACCCACATTCCCCCCTTTAGTTCATGTCCATGTGTTATACATACAAGTTCTTTAGCTTCTACATTTCCCATACTATTCTTGCCCTCCCCCTGTCTATTTTCAACCTACCATCTATGCTACTTATTCTCCATGCCTTTTTCCCGTCTCTCCTCCTCCCACTCCCCTGTTGCTAACTCTCCATGTGATCTCCATTTCTGTGGTACTGTTCCTATTCTAGTTGTTTGCTTAGTATGTTTTTGTTTTTGTTTTAGGTGTGGTTGTTAATAATTGTGAGTTTGCTGTCATTTTATTATACATGCTTTTTATCTTCTTTTCCTTAAATAAGTCCCTTTAACGTTTCATAAAGTAAGGGCTTGATGATGATGAACTCCTTTAACTTGACCTTATCTGGGAAGCACTTTATCTGCCCTTCCATTCTAAATGAAAGCTTTGCTGGATAGAGCAATCTTGGATGTAGGTCCTTGCCTTTCATGACTTGGAATACTTCTTTCCAGCCCCTTCTTGCCTGCAAGGTCTCTTTTAAGAAATCAGCTGACAGTCTGATGGGAACTCCTTTCTAGGTGACTGTCTCCTTATTTCTTGATGTTTCTAGGATTCTCTCCTTCATTTTTATCTTGGCTAATGTAATTATGTTGTGCCTTGGTGTGTTCCTCCTTGGGTCCAGCTTCTTTGGGACTCTTGGAGCTTCCTGGACTTCCTGGAAGTCTATTTCCTTGGACAGATTGGGGAAGTTCTCCTTTATTATTTGTTCAAATAATTTCCCACTTGTTGTCCTTCCTCTTCCCTTTCGGGTACCCCTATAATTTGAATGTTGGAACGTTTTAAGATGTCCTGGAGGTTCCTATGCCTCTCCTCAGTTTTTTGAATTCTTGCTCCTTCATTCTTTTCTGTTTGATTATTTCTTTCTTCCTTCTGGTCCACTCCATTGATTTGAGTCCCAGTTTTCTTCCCATCACTATTGGTTCCCTGTGCATTTTCCTTCATTTCACTTAGCATAGCCTTCTTTTTTTTATGTAATTTGCAACCAAATTCAACCAATTCTGTGGGAATCCTGGTCATCAGTGCTTTGAACTGTGCATCTGATAGGTTGGCTATCTCTTGGTTGCTTAGTTGTATTTGCTGTGGTGCTTTGATCTGTTCTTCTGTTTGGGTCATTTTTTTTTCTTGATGCACCTGTTACATATGAGGGGAGGAGCCTTAAGTGTTCACCAGGGCAGGGCAACCCAGTTGCTGGGTTGTGACACTGTATGTGGGGGTGGGGTCTGAGAGGGAACAATGGAGCTTGCTCTGCTCTCTGTTGGATTTCAGTGCCTTCCACCACTTCTCCCAAGCAAACTGGGCCTTTCTGATGCAAATTCCTATGTGGGTGGATTTGTGCACATTCTAAGACCCCGTGGGTCTCTCCAACGAACTCTCCTGTGAGGCTGGGAGTATCTCCCAGCACCTCAACCCCCACAGGTGTTTTCAATCAGTGCTCTATTGATTGAGGCTCTATTTCCCAGCACTGGGACCCTGGGTTGTGCGGTCTGTCTCACTTTTCAATTTTGCCTGGTTTATCTGCACACGAATGTGGAACTTCCTGGTCAACCTTGCACGCAGTGCCTCGCTTCACAATCACCACCTTGCTGGGTCTGCCCATTGCCATCCCACACCTGGGGTCTGCCAGCCACCACCTGAGCACCCAGGGTTTACTTGTTGTGGTCTTGCATGCACGAGATGACTTATGGGCCCGGTGCCACTGCTTTTTGTGCCGTGATCCCTCTCTGCCTGGCTGCCTGACTCCACCCTTCGTACTGGTCTGGATGAATGTGTCTATTTTAACTCCTTGGTTGTCCAGCTTTCATACAGTTCAATTTTCTATCAGTTCTGGTTGTTATTTTGTTTCTAAATTGCTGTTGTTCTTATTTTGGTTGTGCAAGGAGGCACAGTGGTCTACCTATGCCTCCATCTTGGCCAGAAGTCTCGGCCATATGTTTTTTTTGAGGGCAGAGCCATACATGATCCATCTCTGCGTCCTTAGGGTCTAGCTCAGCAACCAACACATAGGTGGTCAATGAACAGTGGTTGAGGTAAGGGAATGAACTATAGCTATTTTGTGATTTTGCCCCCAGGGTCTATTACTCTTATAACTAAGCAGTCAGTCAGTCACAAAGAATTTGCAGAGGTCTCTGTGGACCCAGCAAATCAGCCTCCCTTTTGGGACTTCACTTCCCTATATCTGAGGCTTCCACAAAAATAACTTATACTGAGCATGTATTGAATGTTTATCATGTGCTAGGCATTGTTCTGAACACTTCATGTATATTAATTAATCAGTCCTCACAATGAGCTCATTTACCTATTATTCCCAACTTATAGATGAGACACAGGGAGGCTAAGTAATTTCCCCAAGGTCACAGACCCAAATATAGACCAGGCTCTAGAGTACGTGTTCTTGGCCTCTGTGCTCTCCGTGAATATTTTCTCTTGAGCTCAGCATTTCAGAGCATGTTTAGAAGAATGTCAAAGAGAGGAGGGCTGTCACATAGGGAACATCAAAGGGACAAAGACTATTTCACCAAAAGAAGAAACTACTTGGGGACAAGTCCCTATGGATTCAATACTTGAAAAACCGACTTGTTCTCAGTGACTTGTGTTGGAAGTCAGTGCTTTGGTGTTATGAAAATATTCCTGATGTCCTCTGATAGTTTGGGTCACCCTGAAAAGTCCTGAGTGCCCCATTTCTAGGAGGATGTGTTGCCAATGTCCCCTCCCCCCCAACACACATTTTTAAATAGATTCTATTTATTGATTTTTAGAGAGAGGAGAAGGGAGGGAGGAAGAGGGAGAGAAACGTCAATGCGAGAGAAAAACATTGATTGGTTGTGCCCTTACTGGGGGTGAACCTGTAACCCAGGTGTGTGCCCTGACCTGGAATTGAAACTTTTGTTTTGTGGGATGATGCCCAACCAACTAAGCCACACCAGTTAGGGTGTGAATGTCCCTTTTGACATTAATTTTACCTTTTCCCTCACCACTTTACTTCCAGGCTGTGAAAAATGTGGTATTTCCTTCCTTGGCATGAGTTTTTGAAAATGAAATTCGTGTTGGTTAAGCACTAGGAAGCTTTTAGGTGACAGAGAGATGGGCATGATTACAAGTTTCTGTTCTCTCTGATCTTCATGTACCTCGAGGCTTGGGCACTGACGGAAACTTAAAAACTGTACAAGGCATAACTCCTTGATGTCTCTGGCTTTACCAAGACTTACTAGTACCTGTCTGAATAATGCAAGGTTCTTTTTCAATGTCGAAACAATTATATATTTCATCCTTTGAATTTTTCCATAGTCATAATTGCCAGTTAGTACCCTGATTTGGCGAACTCCTGGCCACTTCAGTTCAGCAAGTCCATGACTCAAACCCAGTAAAACAGTGGAAGACTTTTATTTTGTTGGTCTGCAGGCAGATTCCACAGTAGTAACTGAGATGACTGGCTGCAAATTGAAATTATTTCTTCTATTTCTTCACAGATTTTGGCTAAGTACACATTGATTTAATAACATGGTTCTTAGCACAGCCAAAAGACTGTGAGCCTCTCAGCATAATTTAGAGGCTGGGACATTTAAGAGAAGTGAAAATCGCAGATATTAGGCCTCACCACCTATAATTCTTATTAACGTTGTGCTTTTTTTTTTTTTTCTTTTAACATGTCTTATGTCTTCCAGCCAAAGACCAGTCCTCTCAGGCAGACGAGGAGAAAGACCATCCAAAGAGCCACCCCTATTCGGTGGAGACCCCATATGGCTTTCATTTGGACCTGGACTTCCTCAAGTATGTGGATGACATTGAGAAGGGAAACACCATCAAAAGGATTCCTATCCACAGAAGGGCCAAGCAGGCCAAGTTCAGCACTTTGCCCCGAAACTTCAGCCTTCCTGACAGTGGGGCTCGCTTGCATGCTGCTCTTCCCCACCCAAACTGGTCCCCACTAGTGTCCAGGAAGGTGTCGCTGGGGACAGAGGAACGAGCCCACGCACTGACGCTCGGTGATCACCCCCAACCCTCCCTGCGTGGGAGCGAGGGGAGCTACCACAGGAGGGCCCTGCTGGCTGAGACCGCCAGACAGCTGGAGTCTGCGGCTCCCGGGGAGGCTGAGCTCGCCTCGGGGAGCGGACGGCCCCAGCTTTTGAGAGCATGCAGCATGCCAGCCACACTGCTGCAAAACAGGGCCTCAGAGGACTCCAGCCTCACCTCAGGTCCTCCCACGCTGCCCGCCCTCATTCCCCTTCCGGGAGAAGGCAATGTCTGTGGGGGCACCTTTGGCCCTGCGGAAGGATTTGAAGGTGTTCCCAACTCCACCACCTGGGCAGCTACCCAACCAAAAGTCAAAGAGCTTGGAGACCTGGTGCCAGGGATTCCAGAACTGGTCCAGGAAACGGCTGAGCACCCGGAGGGTGAAGAAGAGGCTCCACATCTGTTCCCTCCCCCAAGTCCTCCTTTCTCATCCCAGAATACACTTGTAGTTTTAGAGGATGCAAAAAACGAACATAAAACCAGAGAAGCAGAGGTGGTGTTCACCCCTGGCTCCCCAACACCAAGCCCCCCACCTCTGCCCTCACCCATCCCTGAGAATGAGCTCCCCCTGGAAGAAATCGAGCTCAACATCAGTGAGATCCCCCCTCCGCCGCCGGTGGAGGTGGACGTGAGAAGTGTTGGCACGCGGGTCACAGAGGAAAGCCTGGGCCTTGCTGCCCTGGATCCTGGCAGCATCTCCAGCCTGAAGCAGCAGCTCTTGGACCTTGAGGATGCATTGTCTGGAAAAATTGAAGAACTGGTCCAGGTGAGAGCTGCCCTCCAAGAGCAGGAGGAGGAAATCAAGGCTAAGGGGCAGAGGATCCAAGAGCTCGAGTGCACTGTAGCTCAACTGGCAGGAAAGCTTAGCCATGGGAACACCAAAGACGCTCAGGGCCAAACTGATGCCACAGTCAACAGCGACTCCCTCCTCGGACTCTCGGCCAGGCAGTCATGTGACAAGAGCATTGGTGTCAACCTTCTGAGCAGCATGGGATCTGAAAGTTGGAGGGCCAGAGGAGAGGAGAATGGCCTCCTCTGGGGGCAGGACAGTCACAAACAGGGGGATCAGAGCCCAGCAGAATTCGTGCCACCATCCCAGCTGTCACTGCCAGAGGACCCTGAGGTGGTCCTCACCTCTCCTTTATGTAGCTGCTTCTCCACTGAGCTCAGGATAGAAGAGGGAGGCTCTGAGCAGGACGGAGACCCTCAGGCGGGAGCCGAGAGTCTGGTCAGAGGAGCAGGAGGCTCTTTAGGGAGCAGTGACATAAAGGCTCCCCCAGCAGGGCAGGAGGAGGCCAGTTCAGAACTCCCAGGGAAAGAGGGCACACAAAGGCCACCAAGTTCACCCACAGATGCCACCATTGGGCAATATGTTAAGAAGATCCAGGAGCTCCTGCAGGAACAGTGGAGCTGCCTGGAGCACGGGTACCCAGAGCTGGCCAGTGCCATCAAGCAGCCCGCCTCCAAACTCAGCAGCATCCAGCGCCAGCTCCTGAGCTCCCTCAACCTGCTGCTGTCTGCCTACTCAGCCCAGGGTCCACCCCAGAAGGAGTCCCCAGCCCCCTCCTCCTCTCCACCACCAATGGGTAAATACTGGTGCCTGAGACAGGGAACCATTTCTTCTTTATGGGATGAGTCAGAGGGGAAAAGGGGCTTTAATTGCATGCATATGTTTTTTAAAGATTTAAGCACCTCCAGGAACCCAGTGTAATAAAAACTAATTATGTAACAATGGATGCACTGTGCCCCTTCTCATGTCCTTGCTCTAAGGTTAGGATTGAGAGCAGGGCCATTGTACCACTGTCCAGATATAGTACAAGGCGCACAGATGCCAGCCAGGGAGGGTACCTTGGAGCTTAAATCCAGCCCACATATTACCTCTTCAATTGCCACACCTGCAGCACTGTGTCCACCCAGAAGGGTGCCTATTTCCCATTTGCATTGCACAAAGACAAGGTCTAGGGTGAACAGTGGCCCTGGCTATGTGTGCTCTGAACCTCAGCCTCCCTTCACTGCTTCCTGAGCTCTTGCATTCCTGAGATCCTCTCTGATTCTTGCACATTGGAGGTTTTCTCTAGCCTAGTTTTGAAGGAAATTATGTTGAGATCTGAAATATTTCACTGAATGTTGTGGCGGGGCGGGGATTGAATGATACTCACATGTGGAAGTCAACCCTTTGGCTGAGCGGCACTTCCTCTTGTAACAGACAATCCACTGTTGAGTAAAGTGGAACCATATTTTACTTTGCTCAGTGAGCAGTGTGCGAGCCTGCTTCCTGCTGCAGATCACAAATTGCCCGCTCTCTCATTATTTTGTGCTAGTTCTAATCTTGCCTATTAGGAAATGCATCCTGTACTTTTGAGCATGGCCAAAGACTTGTGTTCTTGCTCATGTGTCTCCGGTGCCTACCCCACGTCACAAAGGGTCAACTGGCCAAGGTGGGGCCAGAGGTGGGACCAGGAGTCCCGTGAACTAAGTTCTATGCTTAGAACTAACTAACTCCTTCTCTGCCATTCACTGAGTGAGGCCGAGCCTCAGATCTCCCAGCTGTAAGGGACAAGAATGGCACCCATAGCACATGGCTCTTCTGAAAAAGTGATCCCACTGTCATCCACACAGAGAGAGGCTTGGTGACTAGGGACAGTTCGGCTGGCACTGACCAGAAGGCTAGACCTCTTTGCAGTCCCTCAAAATATTTTTTAAGATTTTTTATTTACTTTTCTTTTTGGGGGGTGGGGGAGGAAGGGAGAAGGAGAAGTAGAGTAACTTCAATGTGCGGGACATACATCTGTCAGTTGCCTCTTACATGCGCCCAGCTGGGAACCTGGCCCACAACCCAGGCATGTGGCCTGACTGGGAATCAAACGAGCAAACTTTCTGTTTGCTGGGCAGTGCTCAGTCCACTGAGCCACACCAGACAGGGTAACCTCAAAATATTTGATTGATATTACCTAGTTTCCTGCCCTTTTCTACCTCTTCACACACCCTCAATCTATATCCCCTTAAAGCAAGGGTCTTGGTTTTGCTGCATTCTGGGACATCTCCAAGATCATTCTAACTTGTGATGTTGTGTCTGCCTAGAAATCTCCCCGTCGACCAGCCTTAAATCCATAATGAAAAAGAAAGACTATGGCTTCCGTGCAGGAGGTAATGGGACCAAAAAGAACCTTCAGTTTGTTGGGGTTAACGGTGGGTAAGCATCACTCGTGAAGCCCAGACTGCCCCCACACTACCTATTCCTGTGTTGCCCTTAGCGCTCTCTTGTCCTAAGGGGAAGCATCTGGTTTTCATTCTTCTTCAAGGGAATTAATCTCAACGGCCCTTTAAAACTCCATCTCGGGTTTGCATGTGTTTGGCTCCTTGCCAGCTGTGGTGGTCTGTTGGATCCTGGGCTTTTAATATGTCTTAGTTTTCGTGTCCCCCAGGGCCAGGATCCCAGTGGCTTCTGGGAGTTTGGGAGGCACATGGGCCCTTTAAGGGAGACATGTAATCTGAACCACAACACTAAAACTAGGACAAACTCTTAATTTGTTGAACTTCAAATTTCACCCATTTACAGTTTTTCTTCCTTTTACTAACTTACTGCAAACCAAACCAGTATTTTTTAGGATAAAGAAAAACAACCAATGTCTACTGACTCAGAACAGGAACCAAACCTTATTTTTCTAGAAAATAAATCATTGAATTTAGAATCATTTCTAAATCAGTCATCCAACAAACATGTGTGAAGTACCAGCACTGTCTTACATGGCAGGGATAAAAATGTCCAATAAACTGTGGTCCCCGCCTTCATCTCCCAGTTTGGACCTGGGCAGAGATAATGCAGGAAGTACAAAAGTGCTGTTATGATGAGATGAATTCTTATAGAAAGGAAGTGTAGGATGCTGGGAAACCCAGAGGAAGGACACATGGTCCAGCCAATGGGGGCCCAGGAATCTGTCTGAAAGAGGTCAGAACCCCTGCTAATTTGAGTGAGACCAGAAGGAAGATGCCAGATTCAAATAACAGTGACATCACTGTTGCACCTTCTGTGAGAGAAACGTCAGAAAGATGAAATGGGGTCATAGAGTTGCTGTTCCCACTCCTGCTAACGTCAGACACTGCAGCCCGAGGAAAATCCTTTTTGTGTTCATAGGAGAATCAGCTTTCACCAAGAAAAGGAGGATCAACTTAATCTTAAAGTGTAAAGCAGGTCCCCTACTGCTGGCTCCTGCCTTTCTTCTTTCAAGTGTGCGGAGTCAGGCCCATCTGGGGGGTTGGGAAGCAGAGGGAATGGGGGCTGGGGTTTCAGGGGGCCTTTGTATTTGCTGTCAACCCACCACCACCACCAACACCACCACCACCCCTGGCTTCAAGTGCTCCTTTCCCAGATATTCTTCAGTATTTGTCACTCTAGTGCAGTGGTTTTCAACCTTGGCTGCACCTTGGCAGTCCTAGGGGAACCTTAAAAAATAGAAATGCCTGGGTCCCCTCTCTGAAGACACCAGTTTAATTAGTCTGGAGTGTAATATAGGTATTGGGAATTTTAAATACCCTCAAGTGATTCTCATGTGCAGCCAAGGTTACAAACTCCTGCTCTAATTAAAGTAGCCCCTCCCAGCACTCTGTCCCATGGTCCTTTATTGTTTTATTCAAAGTTCAAGGTTTACTATCTGAATATATTGTTTACATGTTTATTTTCTGCCTTTCCCTATTAGAACATAGCCCATTTAGGACAGGGACCTCAATATAGTATTTAGAACAGTGCCTGACACATAGATGGTGCTCAGTCAATTTCTGTTGAATGAATGAATGAACTTCCAGATGAAGTTTTTATGGAAACAATTTTAAGACAAGAACTGCTTGGTGAATATGTTACATCCTCTACTCTCTCAGTCTCAAAAGCAACAGGTTGTTCTAAGCACAAGACAGGAAGAAATATCTTGGATTTAAACAAGACAGAATGCGAGCATACCAAGAAACAGGCCAGGTTTACAAATGCGGTGAACATGGGGGCTCTCATTTGGAGACAGGCCATGAAGGGGTTCTGTGGAAGAAGTGGCCACTGGGTCCCTGGGTCTCTGTGGCAGTGTCCAGTGGCCCTACAGCCCAAAGTCTTTGTCCATTGGTGGTCTCCTATTGGCCATCAGCAGCAGAATCAATAAATCTTCTAGGGTGTTCCCCCATGGTCTCTGGTCTGCCACCTCAGTAGAGTTGCATATAGTTGAACATAAGGACTGTAGCTGGAGAGGGAGGACCATGTGTGAAGTGGTGGTCCATGCTCTTGCTTTTGCTGTTTCCAGCAATAGTTGAAACAGGTTGCAGATGAGAAAGGCGAATGCTGGGTTCAAGTATCCCAACTGGGAGTAGACAGAGATGGTTTCTTCTTTGTTGGGTGTAAGCTGGGCTAGAACAAGGGGCTGAAAGGAAGTCTCACGATCACCTAAAGACATGAAGATTTGTCAGGCAGTTCAGAAAACTGAGGGGGGTGGATGGGAAACACGTACCTAGATGTGGGCTCTTTTCTGGAGACATTAGGATTCCAGAAGCAAATGTTTTCATAACAACTGTGGACTGCCTGTTGGGATCATCCGAATGCATTGGTCAATAGAGCATGTGCTGTTCGTGTGTTTGCCATGAAGACCGAAGTTCCTTATCTTCTCCCCAAATGGCCTCTGACGTTAGAGTCAGAGCTCTTGCCTGCACTTTTCTCTGATGTCAAGGTTCCTGGGAGTTCCCTCCTCTAGGCCTGAAGGAACAGAAAGTGGAGAATGTGGTTAGCAAGCTGGGAAGTGTCATCTAAAGCCCACCCAGGTCTCGTTCGTGTTGACATGGGCACTGGGCAAAAAGCATGGAACAAGTCACATCTGTCTCCTTTCCCAGCTACGAGACCACCTCAAGTGAGGAGACCAGTGGCGAGGACAGCTCCCCAGAAGACTTGTCTGACAGTGAGGCTGAGAAGAAGTGTGATGGCCTGGAACATAGGCGGGACAGAGACGCCCACTCCAGCTGTAAGGTGGGACAAGGCATCTCTGAGAGCACCTGCGACACAGGCCAGGAAAGGGGACCTGGGGAAGAACCCCTTCTTCCCAAGGCTGAGCGGTGAGTCAGATGGATATAGAAGGGGACACCTGAACCTCTGAGAAAAGATGAGAGCATTTATTCATTCTTTTATTCAGTCATTTATTCATTTGTTTATTCCTTCACCAGTATTTATTGAGTTTCTAATCTATGCCATGTAGTATGCACTGCTTGAACTAAACATGTGTAGCTCCTGCTTCATGGGATATAGTCATAGTTGAGCTCTACACATAAAGCTGACATTGACCTAACACTGCAAATGTGAAGGACTTTACAGCTGTTGTCTTATGTAGTTTTAAAAACAACCCTGCAAGTTAGAAATAATTACAATCCTGACTATACACATGTGGAAACAGAGGCTCAGAGAGGGTAAATGACAGAGCTAGCAGAGTGGGGATTGAGACTAGGCCTTTCCTGATTTTACCCACACCCTTCTCTGCCTCTCCCATTGGCTATGCTGATGTAAGTCTTTTAAAATGATGGGAGGTCATGTGGCATGATGAAAAAAGTACTTCAGAGTTGGGCGCACCTGGATTCAAATCCTCTATCTGTACAGCATTATTTTAAACAAGGTACTTAAGCTGTGGTCACTTCAATTTCTTCATCTGTGAAATGTAGATGACAGCAACCTGATAGGTTTGGTGTCAGGGCTGGATGAGAGAAACTATGTAAAATGCCAAAATAGTAGGTTCTCAAGAAACGGAAGGAAAAGCATAGTAAGTACCATTGTCATCATTACCATTCATCCCAGCCTGGCTGTCCAAGGAGTGATGAGCAGTCGATACCAGCAGCTTGTCACGCAGGTCCGCAGGGCTGCTCCGGCATGGCAGCACTGTAACGACGGGATGAGGGAGTGGAGCTCCCCAGTGATCGATGCCGCCAAGTCCCAGTTTAGGCCTCTCAATGCTGCCTCTGCCCTTGTCCTAACACAGGAAGAGTGTTTACCTTTGCAAACACCCAGCTTAATTGGTTTCATTTTATTGACTCCATTAGCGCCTATGGTGTCTTTCGTGGAAAAATAACCTGAAGAAGTTGGCTGGTATAGATTATTGGGTTCTTTGAAGTTTTCAAGGCAGCCAGGCAGAAAATGTTTGGTCCAGCCCTTGCTGGTGTGACTCGGTGGACGGAGCACCAGCCCACTGAAGGTTGCTGGTTTGATTCCCAGTCAGGGCACATGCCTGGGTTGTAGGCGAGGTCCCCAGTTGGGGGTGTGGCAGGAGGCATCTGACCAATATTTCTCTCATATATCAATGTTTCTTTCTCTCTCTTTCTCCCTCCCCCCCAAAAAAAATAAATAAAATATTTTTTTAAAGAAAGAAAATTTCTGGTCCAAAGTCAAAAAGACTATATCCTCCATTGCCAAGCATGACAGGAATTGCAGTTGGGCCCCCAGAATGCTTTGGCAATTGCTCCCAGCCCCTGAAAACAGCAGGATAAAAGGGCGATGTGCTTGACACTCTCTTCAGAAGAGCTCAGAAGCTGAGCCTCATTGTCAAGACACCGTATTCACCCCACATTTCTGAAGAATACCCCTTATCCTGGGAAGCTGCCCAGTTTGGGTGTTTGAATTGCTGAGAATGGAAGTGGAGATAGAGAATAACCTTTTTTAAAATCAACATGGAGACTGATACATATATTTTTTCTTTAGATACAAACCCTCTGAAGAATTTCTTAATGCATGCCGGGCATTGAGCCAGCATCTGCCAGAAACTGGGACCACCACCGACCAGCTCTTGGTACTCTGATTTTTCATTGTCACATAGAGATTGCTGTATTGTTTAAGCTGTTAGTTCCAACAAGGTGACTTTGGTCCCTTGCCTGAAGCAGTAGTGTGAGTGCACACGGGAGCCCCTTTCCTCTGGGTGCTCTCTCATCTGCCCAAAGTCTCGCCTGTTGCCTAAGATGATGGATTATGCTGAGAAAGTGGAACCAGCGCATATGCACAAGAAAGCAGGCCCAGTGCTGGGAGGCTTTTACCAAGGGTTGTTACCCATTGCATCCGGGATGTGTGTCATAAAATGATTTGTGGCTTAGGCTCAAAATTGCCGTGCAATTTGAGCAAACTGTGGGTAGAATGGAAAAGAGCATGTGGAACACCTACCATAGGTCCTATCCTCAGGAGTACTACCGATGAGATATTGGGCAAGCCAGCTCAACACTCAGAGCCTCAGTTCCCCCATTAATAAAATGAGGGTAGTAGGCAGCATGTCTCCAGTTACCCTCAAGCCCTGGCATTTAGTTTTGTAGTCTTTACTCTTTTTCTTGGGCCAAGAGGCCAAGAGACCAACTACATCTGTTTGCTCCCTAACACCTTTATGACCCTCGGAGACTTAAACATGTAACGATTGGGTTCTACTTTTAATCAAGAGATACAAGTTATGGAGGCAGCTGATAAGACCCATTGTGTAACAACTTGAAACCATTTTCAAAGCCCCCTTTCTCCTCCTTTGCAGAAGAGCTATAGAAGTAAAAATGATCAATTCAGCCCATTCCATTTTTGTTACTTTATCTTAGCTGATTTGGCAAATAAAGATCCCCAGATTGTTAAAGAACAAATATGTGATGTAGATGTTGCTTAAAATTCCTGTTATGCATTCTTAAATGAATTACAAAACTATTTCTTAGTTCTCTATTTAAAATCTACCACCATGTTCCTTAACATTAGGATCTTTCTTCAGATCCTCTTAAAGATTTGATGGCTAGCGTTGACTAGTGTGGCTCAGTGGATTGAGTGCTGGCCTGCAAATCCAACGGTTGCTGGTTCAATTCCCAGTCAGGGCACATGCCTGGGTTGTGGGCCAGGTCCCTAGTAAGGAGTATACAAGAGGCAACCACACATTGATGTCTCTCTCCCTCTCTTTCTCCCTCCCCTTGCCCTCTCTAAAAAATAAATAAATTTTAAAAGTTTTTTTAGAAAAGATTCCATGACTAAAGGAGATGTTATACAAAAAAGTCTTTCAGCCATAAAAGATTCCACTGATTTTGCCTAGAAAAGCAATTAGAGGATATGCAAACCTGACACCATACCCACATTAGGATCAAAGCACAAGACCCCGCCACCCTACTTTAGAGACAAAGCAAGTTGTACAAGGGCCTCGCTCTGTAGAGCTGTGGGAGGTTAGGGAGCCAGCCCCTTTTATACCCCCATTTTGTAGGTAAGACAAGTAAGGTTCAAAAAGCTGTGTGACTTCCAAGGTCACACAGCTGAGCCAGGACTTACGCCTGGTCACATTGGCTCAGTGACTCCAAATCCAGTTCTCTTTCCAGAATGAGTGTGAAAACATTTCTGGTACTCACATCCCCATGGGTAAATAATCTAGACATGTTTGATTTTAAACACTGAGGTCATGTCACATGTAGAGTTGATGTCATTTGCTCTGGATTCTCCTCATTTACAATTCCACAGAGCTGAACACTGTCAGGGGTGTCTAACCTGTGGCCCTGGATGGCTAGGAATGTGGCTCAACACAAAACTGTAAATTTACTTAAAACGGTTTTTTTTGCTCATCAGTTTTCTTTAGTGCTTGTGTATTTAATGTGTGGCCCAAGACAGCTCTTCTTCCAGTGTGGCCCAGAGATGCCAAAAGGTTGGACACCCGCACTGGATGGTGGAGTCCTGCCATGGGTGGTTCAGATATTTTCCCTGAAGGCCCTAGCAAAGCTCAAAAGCCAAAAAGAATTCAAGCACAGCTGTTTGGGTTTTGTTTCCAGTGTAAGTTGGTCATGTTGTTTGTCTGAGCTTTCAGCATGCATTTTTCCCGCTAATGAAATACTGTGACTTCCCATCTATGTGTATTGAAAACACACACAAGAGTCTGAGCTGAGGTCACTAAAGGCTGGCTGTATGCACATGAAAGAGGAGGTCTTGGTTGGCTGTCACCTAGACTTACAGCAGACCCAAACTGTCACCTAGTGAAGTGCCTTGGTGCTAGTTACTGCATTGCGCTCCCACTGCCCTCCACTTCACGTGGGGAAGGAGCAATCAATCACACAGGTTCAAAGGATGTTGCTGCAGCCTCCACTGCACCAGCTAGAGCTGGAGGGAGCTAAAGGGATAGAGGTGGAAGCATTCAAAGCTGACTTCCTAGTAGAAATGAACACCCCCACCGGAGCATCCCAGGCCAGAGAACCTTCTGGAATTGAGATCTTTTGCTATTTCAGAAGCAAAGCTTGAACACCATCAGTCAAGAGTGGTTTCGAGTTTCTAGCCGGAAGTCATCCAGTCCTGCTGTGGTGGCCGCCTACCTCCAGCCTCACTCCCCACACTTCCTAAAGCTGCTCGTCAACCTGGCTGATGGGAATGGAAACACAGCCCTGCACTACAGTGTGTCCCACTCCAACTTCCCTGTCGTCAAGCTGCTGCTGGAGACAGGTCGGAAATGGCTGCCACTACGCAGTCGGGGTCCCTCCTTAAAGGACAATTCGTGTACTCACTTCTTTCCAGCTAAGGGAGTCTTCTGTTCTGAGTTCCTTCTGTATTCTCAGAACTGGGGTAGACCGTTTTCTTCTATCATGTCATTTATTTTTCACCATGTTGTTGTGATGTGGGTGTTGTTATTCTCATGTTGCAGTTGAGGAAACTGAGGCTCGGGGAAAGTAGCAAGGATATAAAGGCAAGAGTACCATTCCAAACAATAATAGTAATAACAATGAGTAGTTACTGAGCACTTGCTGTGTGCTAGGTGTTGTTCTAAGTACTTTAAATATATAAATTCATTACATTTCACAATAATGCTATGAGGCACGGTTCTGTTATTATCCCCATTTTATAGAGGAAAGGCTAAGTGAAAGGCTAACTTGATCTCCTCAGACTGTTTTGTTATTGCCCAAAAAGAGACACATAAGCTTCTCAGATAAGCAAAAGTGCAGACAGATAACAGGCTGATAATCTACTGTCTCCTTTGGTGGAGAAGGATACAATGCCTATTTCCAGGGCTAAAACAGAAATTTCTTTTGAATTCTCATTCAAAAAAACTCATTCTCATTCAGGAAAAACTATTGCAGTTTTCCGCCCCCTGTTTTCAAGTGGGATTGCTATTCCTAAAGCTCTCCCCTGTTCACCCTGTGGTATTTTTCACACCCCCTGGTTCACTGCACAGCATATCCCTGGGCCTTGGAAAGGATGTACAAACACAGCCACCAGCTTAAGAGTTACTCACAAACATAGAGTGAAACTTAAAATTCACAGCTGTGGGCAATATGTGGCCAGGTGAGTGATGGGCTGTAGAGCCAGATAGACTTGAGTCCTGGCCCCACTTCCCCCTCACTTTGGCAGTTTATGTGGCTTCAGTGACCTTCAGTGTCCTCATCTATAAAATGGGAATAATGTTTGTGCTCTGCTTTAGGAGATAGAGTCATGGTCCTTGGCCCTCGTGGCCATCTCTGATTCTGCTGTAGAACTTCTTTGCGGGTAGCCTCAGAAAACATGTGAAAAAAAGTAGCCAGTTTTAAAGGCTGCTAAAAATATAAAACATTGATTCCACCCCTGGGAAAGGATTGCTTTATCCCATTTTAACCAACAGCATCCTGTTGAACAGGCTAAGGCAGTCTCTCCTCTGGCCCCTTGGGAGCTGTTCCAGTGCTCACTGCTTCTCTTGCAGGCATCTGCAACGTGGATCATCAGAACAAAGCTGGCTATACCGCCGTGATGATCACTCCCCTGGCTTCTGCGGAGACCGATGAAGACATGGCTGTTGTCTGGAAGCTCTTAAGGGAAGGAAATGTGAATATCCAAGCTACCCAGGTAGGAGGTGTGAACCTGATCTCCACTTTAATAAATGCCAGAACCTCCTGGGTTTATTCTGCCGGCAGGGTGAGAAATTCCATGTAAATCCATGTAGTTTTTTAAGCCAAGAAGGCTGGGGCTTCCAAATGGTGTGTGTCCAAAGGCTGATCATTTGGTCTCTGCAAAACTCCTGAGACCCAGACAGGCTGGGACAGAGGTCAGGACACTTGTAATCTATGTCCCAGTCTGAAATTGGTCAAATTCCATCTGGATTCAACTTCTCAAACCAAATATTCCCACAGTTAGCGCCTTCAGAAGGCATTTTGCTAGTTGGCTGCTCTAGGAAGCCTCTGCGAGTGATCCGCCTTAATCATGGATTATAATGCCATTTAGTGTTGCGATGTAGCTCTGTTCAGCTTCTGGGCTCTTCTTCTTGAGAACACAGAGTAAGTATGGTTCCCACTGAGTGGGGCTTTGAGCAGACAAGGCTCCACTACCAACAGGCCACTTACCCATCTTCAGCCAGTACAAGAATGAGTAGAGTGCATTCAGCTGTCCTTTCCCCCACTGGAGTGATCATAGGTGGTAGACTAACTATCAAGAACTATCAAGGGGTTTGAGATTTCACTTTACCTGAAAGCTAACAAGTTATCATGCTACAGTGTCATGGATGCTGGCAGATACATGAGATGACATATGTCAGAGACAAAGGACAGAGTGTTACAGTAGTAGGAGCAGTGACAGCATTGGTACTGACACCAGTTCCCTGAAACGCAATTCCCCATTCCCTCTGGGCAGCGTGAGGAGGGCCAGGTCCCCTTGCACAGAGCGGGTTGTGTTACTGGAAAGGAACTCTGAGTTTAGGGAACCTGAGCCTTTTATACTGGCCAGTAAGCCTGTCTGCCTCTGTTCGGGAGGAGATACTCTCTGGCTTCCAAAGCTGTTCACTGTACAAACAACCTTAAAAAGAGAGACGAAAACAAAAGGGCAGGCAGTGCCTCACTCACCTGATGTGCATAAAGCCAGGGAATTCGTGGCACATTGTCTCCCAACAACATACTGAGCTCCACTCCCCTGCAGCCACCAAAGTGATCGCATGCAGTAGCCTAACCTGACGGTGAAGTCGTTTTGCAGGCTTTACCTAATGGCAGTCCTATTGATGTCAAGGACAGACGTTTGTGGATCACATTCTGGTTTTCAAAGTATTTTCACTCACCCACACTCCTACTCCATAGGACTCAAGCAGTTTTCATTTTAATGTTTCCCATAAACATTGATTTTTTTCTAAATTGTCCTTCTTGCAAGAGGGGATGCCTACCTATGATCAAAATCAGCATTCCCTCCTCTTTTCTTTCAGTTTACGGAGGAGAAACGGACGGTCTAGGAGGGTAAGGGACTCAGCCCAGGTCATCAGAGAATTCACAGCGATAGCTGTTCCCTTCAGCCCCCCTTGGGGCCTTTACGTATGAGGAGAGGTGCAGGGACCTGGTTAAATGGGAGAGAGCTGGGAGGCTGGGAGTCTCCTGAGATAAGCTACTTAGTTTTCCTTGTACCTCCAGGGTCAGCACGGCACCTGGCAGCACCTGGCACATAGCAGTGCTGTGTAAGTGATCATTACAGTCAGCTGTACTGAACTGGACCAGGAGGGAGGTGATGAAGGACAGGGGGCCCTGAGTCAGGCAGAGGGGCAGATGTGACCACAATCTGCATATGTCATCTGGCTTTAATACCACTTGCAGAGATGGGTCTGGGTGGAAACCGTGTGGTCTGGTTAGTTCAGTTAACAGCCATTACCTCAGAGCTGAGTATGAGCAAACCAAAAAACAAACAGACTTCTCTGGAAAGATCTGTCTGGGATCCAGAGAATGGAGAGCCAGGACAGCTGCTAATACATTCCCACATCCTGAGCATTTGCATATATTATCTCTAACCCTCATAATGATGGTAATAGCCAACATGTACTGAGCATTTGCTAGATGCTCAGGTCTTGCAACAACCCCATGAGGCAGGTAATATTGTTAATCATTCCCATTTTATCAGACCACAAGAAGTCACCAAGAAGTTAACTTGTTCAGATTCACACGGGTAGTAAGTGGCAGAGCCAGGATTTTTGTGATTGCCACCCGCCCTCTTTCCTCTAAGCCCCAGTGCTCTGGGCAGGGGGAAGCACGATCCATCAGTGATGGCAGATCAGCACTTTAGTAAACATATCAGCGAACATGTCTTAGCACTTGTTACTTGTAAGACACTGTGCTCAGAGCCATGGGGGATCTGAAAGAAGAGAAAACATGGTCCTTGCCTCACTGCTGCAACCTCACGAAGTCTGATGTTTTGTCAGAGGACGAGCTTGACCCACCTGGAACCTGGGAGAACCATGAGGGCAAATACAACCAAGTCCTAGGAGAGGATTATGTACATACAGGAAAAATGATGAGAAATGATGGGCAATTTGCAATCAGAAAAATTACTACTACATAATATTATATTTATAACCTTTATCTTATTTGATTCCTTCAAGATCCCTGTGGGGTACATAGGATAGATCATTATTATATTAATTTTTAAGAAAAGAGAAGCTCTGGCTGGTGTGGCTCAGTGGATGGAGTGTCGGCCTGCCAACTGAAAGGTTGCTGGATCGATTCCCAGTCAGGGCACATGCCTGGGTCATGGGCCAGGTCTCCAGCTGGGGGCGTGCAAGAGGCAACCTATCTATGTGTCTCTCACACATCAACGTGTCTCTCTCTGTCTTTCTCCTTCCCTTCCCCTCTCTCTAAAGATAAGTACATTTTAAAAATCTGAAAAAAACAAAAAAGAAAAAGAAAGAAAAGAAAAACCAAGATTCAGGGAAGACACAGGAGATGGCCAGGGTCATGCACCAGGAAAGAGCAGACCAGAGCTTGGACTCACTTTCTGACTCAAAGTCATTGCCACGTCCACCAATGATCATAAGGATGTAAAAAATTGTCAATGGGTGTGAATTAGTAATGACCACAGGGCCATGCAAGATCTTGAGACAAGAGGGTTTTGGTGTCATTAAACTGAAAGTCCCAGGGGCATTCAGAGCAGACCAAGGCTTCTGGAGAAGGTCAGGCTGGGGCAGGCAGTAGTAAGTCATGGTGCTGAAACATTCAGCCCTTCACTTGTCCCATTATTCGACATGCATCAGCACAAACTAGCTGGTGGGCAGTGGGGAGAAAGAGATGAAGTCCCTGATATCAAAATGTCAGTCCATGAGAAAGAGATTGGCAGCTTGTAACACCAAGTGATAAGCGCTGTGTTATGAATCTCATGCCTGGTTGTCAGTAGAGGGCTTTAGAGAGGGTGTAGCAGTAGACTAGTGTTTTGGAAAAGAAATAGAAGTTTACCAGGTGTTGAAGAATGTGTCCCCTACCAAAGGCAGAAGAAAATTCTGGTCATCAGCCATTTTCCGGAGAAGTTATTCCTGAGCACACCCAGGCAGGACAGGAGTCCTTCCCCATAGGCAGCGGACTCACCCGCCCTGGGCTCTGTGTGCAGGGAGGCCAGACTGCGCTGATGCTGGGAGTCAGCCACGACAGGGTGGACATGGTCCGAGCGCTGCTGAGCTGCCAGGCAGATGTCAACCTGCAGGACCACGATGGATCGTCGGCCCTGATGCTGGCCTGTCACCATGGCAACACGGACATGGTGCAGCTGCTCCTGGCACACCCGGCCTGTGACAGCAGCCTGACGGACAAGGTGAGACTCACAGGCATTGACAAGCAGGTACTTCCTTCCTGAAATGTGTCTTGCTGGCCAGCAGAACCCAAGGAACACCATAGCAGTCACAACAGAATCAACCTCAGAATTGACCTGTTGTGGGATTTAAATGAGATAATCCATGGTAAATGCTTGGAGCCTTGGATTTCAGAAACTCCAAACCCTAGCCTTTCCCACCACTGTGAGGGAATGTGCATAGGCCTGGCACCTCATCTGGTCCCAGCAATAACAACATGTGGGCTTCAAGGCTGCAGCTCAGATGGAGGACCTCTGCTGTTCATGGGGACTCCTGAAAGGCTGGAGGAAGTAACCAAGTGTAAATTAGGTCCACTCTCGGACAGTGATCCACCTTACAGAACAGCCCATTTCATCAAGCCAGCCTGCTTGAAGTTGCAATGCCAGACACATGCTTCTTACGTAAACTTCTTTGAAAGGTGATGGCGACCATGATGATAATGATGGTGACAATGATAGTGACGATAACGATAATAGCTCACATGTATCAAGTGCTTTCTCTGTGCCAAGGACCATCCTGAGCGTTTACCACAGACCATCTCATTTAAATCCCACCACTACCTTGTTACGTTAACTTGCTCATGTCACTCATTTGCTCACAAGAAAATGGAGGCACAGAGTAGTTAAGTAACATGCCCAAGATCACACAGTAAGTGGAATGCTTCTCCTTCAAGTTCCTAAACCCAAACTCTTAACTGCTGCATCATCATCTCTGTTGTCACACTGAGGGTCCATGTTTCTGGTTCCCTGCTAAATCTCTGCACCTAGTAGAGTGTCTGCCACACATCAGATGAATGAATCAACAGCTGAGTGAATGAACCCCTAAACTTCAAAGGTAAGTTCTCAGGAACTGCTTCTGTGACTGATAATTGCAGCAGGTAATATTTCTGGAGTCCTCACAGGAACTAAATTCTTTCCATGCATTAATTTTCAATAACCCAGTGAGGCAGGTAGTGCAATCCCAATTTTTTTTTAATGATAAGAAAACAGAAGCCTAGAGAGTTTGTGTAGCTATCATAAAGTCATAAGTTGCTGATTCTCAGAGCAGGGATTCAAGCCCTGGTTTGACTCCAGTGTTCTTAATGTTGGCACTATAATTTAATACTTTAAACAGACCTCTATATACTTCTTAACATACACAGTTCAAAAGGAATAAAGTTCTGGGGAGGGGTAGAAAGTCCTGTGTTTTTCGAGGGACAGAGCCTCTTACTAAGCTACATCTGAACTACCCTAGATTGTTCTATCAGTGATTCGAGCTGCTAGGTCCCTAACCAGGAAGCAGGGCTCTCCAGTTCAATGTCTTCAGGCCCCTGAGCCCCAGTTCTACCCTGAAGCGATTTCTGAGATAATTAGAAGACACAGACCCTCTTGAAATGCAGGTAGGAACAGTGGTGGGCTGCTGGGAACAAGAGCCCTTGTTCCAAACACAGCCCATTCAGACAAAGGATCTGTGCCAGTGAGCTTCCTGCAGGGTCACCCAGAGGGAGGAGGAGGCCTCTGGCCCCTTAGGGGTGACCTGTTGCCTTGGGGAGCCCTGAGAGGGAAGGCTAGTGAGATGGGTGCATGAGCTTCGGGAGTCCCTGGTTAACTGGGATAATTGGGCCCTGAGATGTGACCCTGAGAGCATCTCCCGGATGCCTCTGGAGGTCTGCCCCAGATGAGAGAGAAGTAAGTGGCTATGGCTGCCTTCAGGAGATGGAGGGAGGGCTCGGTTATACTTCAAAGGACTGCAGTGACTGTTAGAAGCGTGGACTGTAAACACTCACAGGTGTGAAACTGGGTTCATCGACTGTGCTTTGGGCCCATTCACCTAATCCCTCTGAGTGTCTGTGGGCTCACCTGTAGATAGAGGTAGTAATAGACATTACCCAAGTACAGTAATGTTTGTAAAGCCCACATCTTCCACCTAGGAGGCACTCGGGTGATGGTAACTGTAAGTGTTACAGTCACATGAACAGTGAGCTGAAACAAACAACTGCTAACTACATCAACAAGTAGGGTCCTCGGTATTTGCAGGCAGAGTCTGGGGGGAAGGTCTAGATTTAAGTAGGGGAGCGCCTACCTACGAGGAGACTGGCCCCCACAGGGTGAAGTGGTGTTGTCAGCGAAATGGGCTTTAGTCCCGTGGTTCTCATACCAGGGCGATGTTGCGCTCCAGGGAGGTTTGGCAATGTCATTTTTAAAAAGTACTTTTTAAATCCTCACCTGAGGTTATTTTTTTAATTGATTTTAGAGGAAGAGGGAGAGAGAGAGAAAGAAAGAAATGTCGATGTGAGAGAGAAACATCGGCCAGTTGCCTCCTGTACGCACCCTGAGCGGCAATTTAGATATGTGCCCTGACTAGGATTCGAACCTGCAGCCTTTTGGTGCACAGAATGATGCTCCAACCAACTGAGCCACCTGGCTAGGGCAGCAATGTTATTTTTATTTGTCCCAAGTGAGGGAGGAAGAGTTCCTGGCATCTAGTGAGTAGAGGTCAGAGATGCTGCTAAACATCTATGATGCACAGGAACAATGAAAAATTACAAATTACCTTCCCAACATGTTAACACCACCATGGTTGAGAGACCCTGGTATAGGTGAGTGCTAAAATCCAGGTGGGATTAGACAACTACCTTGGTCAAGTGCTACATCAGGAAGAGCCAGGCCAGGGTTGAGGATGAGGCCAGCTGCCACTCAGGGCTGGAAGCCTGGAAGGAGGACCTGGAGAGCTAAATAGGAGATGGCTGCAGAAGCCTGTCATAGCGCAAGTGGAGAGGCTTGAGGTGCCCAGAGAGCACCAGGATGGCCAGGCTGTGAGGGCGGCAGCTCCACAGGGCATCCTAGGCCCAACCCATGGCCCAATCCCCTGCTGCCTGCTCAGGTCAGGGTCACTGCAGGATTCACACCCAGAGTCCCCAAGGGTGATGTGGGTGAGACATTTCAGTGTCAGGTGGGGACTGCTGACCGGGACCCACCGAGCACCAAGCCCTATGCCTCAAGCTTTGCATTGAAAGGCAAACTCCAGCCCTCATCATGATCACCAAATCATTTCACTGTTTGCCCTTCCCATACAGCTTGGATGCAGGGGTCATTTGGGAATTTCCTTGGAAACCTGAGAGAATTAATGTCCTGAAATTGGTTTCTCTCATCCTACCAACAGTTAATGGTTGATCTAAACGCAGACCTCCCAGAACAGCCAGCAAGGAATGTTCCCTAGGTTTCTAAGGTAATTCAAGAAATTGACCACCCAGCCTCCCAGGGGCTGTGAGAGTGATCAGCACAGGAAGGTGGTGGTGAAGGCTGAGCCCCAGGACCCAGAGGCTCACCCATCAGATCAAAAGCAGACTCTGCTTTGTTCGTCTTTACCTAATTTATAGTGGATTCTTGTCATATTGAAAGGCAACCCCCCCAACCAAACACATGCACACACACACATGTGCACAGAGTGCTGGCTTCCCCGGCCCCTTTGTCTCCAGGTTGGCAGTGTTGCTGAGCAGGGTTTGCTGCATCTGGCTCCCACTGGTATGCCAGGCTGTGGGCTTGTTCCCAGGGCTCAGGCTCAGGCAGAGGTGCTCGAGAGACACACCCTCCCCAGGTGGTCTCCCAGGCCACACTTTTTGAGCTGAATGGGGCCCCCCACCCTCCATGTCTGCAACTGAGGAGCCCACAGATACAGGTTGACATCTCCAGATGGGCCCTGTTCAAAGGTCTTTGGGGACTGGCCCAGTGGCTCCTCTCCATGACAAGAGTGATCACACCATCTTCATGGCTATAGAGAGCCTCGCAGCTGACGAGGCACAGCGATGATGTCCAGACTGCAGGGGACAGGCCTAAAACCCAGGCCCCTGTCTGTGGGGCTTTTACAAGACTCCTCTACTTAAAATCTTTGCTTTGTTCCTGACTTGCCTAATCTAAAATAATTCACCAGGACTTCAGTTGCTCAGGATCGTCATCACATTGGAATGATTACTGTGGCTCTCTGACATCCAGCACCCCCTCTTTCAGCAGTGCATTCTGAGAACCAACCCAAGGGCAGCCATGGGGACAGGCCCCGGGATGCTCACCGGGCTGCAGGAATGGGCCAGATGCAGTGCCCGGCCTCGTGGAGACAGGGATTTACCAAGTAACCCCACGAATACCACTTATAAAGGGTGGTCAAAGAAAGCTACAAGGAATCATGAGGCCCCTTCAGGGAACGAACTCCATCTGTTTTGTGAAGCCCCTGTGCCCCTCCTTGGGGTCCCGCTGCCATCTGCACACACAGAGACATTGTGCTTTCCTCTGAGCTCACTCTTTCCCTCTTGGCTCATATGGCTGTATGCTGTGCTATACAGTTATTTATGTGTGTGGGGCCCCGGTGGCAGCTGGACTCCATCCTGGTGCACAGAGGAAAGACTGAAGAATTTGAGGCTGAGTGTGAACACTTCCTACCTGCTTCTGTAGAGTTTCGACATTTTAGGAAGTACCAGTAATGGTGCCCTGGCTGGTGTGGCTCAGTGGATTGAGTGCTGGCCTGTGAACCAAAGGGTTGCTGGTTCGATTCCCAGTCAGGGCACATACATGCCTGTGTATGGGCCAGGTCCCCAGTTGGGGGTGTGCAAGAGGCAACCACGCATTGATGTTTCTCTCCTTCTCTTTCTTCCTTCCTTCCCCATTCTCAGAAAATAAATAAATAAAATCTATTTTTTAAAAAAAGAAGTAATTGCCCTATATACAGTGAAGTAGAAAACAAACTAGCAGGGTCTTGGGTGCCCTCTGTGTATCAAAGTCCTCAATATTTATGCAACAAACTGTAAAAACATTCACACTATTGGTGCTAAATAAGGATCATAGGTAGTAGCTTCAGGTTTTATATGCAAATGAGTTACCAAAATAGTGGATTTTGGAGACAGCTAAGTTTCAGAACTCTGGATACATAATTGAGCTCTTTCACGAGACTGTGCTGCCCTGGCAGATGGTGTCCACTGGGTCATGTCGGCCTTTCTGCTCGTCTCTCCGCCAGCACTGCCTGCGAGTGCCCCTCTGAAGGCAGCTTCAGCAGACAGTGGCCCCAGCAGCTCCCTGTGTTACTGAAACAGCGGAGAAAGCACTGGGGTATCGTATATTGGGAGGTAAAAGTATGTATGTCTTTCCACACTGGGAGCCCACTTCTAAGAGCTGGTCCTTAGGAAATATTCAGAAACGGGAAAATGCTTTCGGCACTAAGTTTAGGATGATGAAGACTTGGGTACCACTCGTGTCTCCAACGGAAGGGAAATACTTCAGTAAGTTATGGAATAGTATGTCCCCAATCAGAAAAAATGGTATGTTCTGAGGACTGTGTAAGAACAGGGAAAAATTGTATAACATACTTTGGTGAGTTCAAAATACAAGCACATTTAAAATTGATGTACACTATCATTCATCTGTTTGAAAACCAGTAACAGATTTGCATAGAAGAGACTGGAGGGAGATATACCAAAAATGCTAACTTTCTCTTAGAGCTGCATAATGGAATAATGGAAGAGTTCTTTTATTTTCTTTCTTCTGTTTTCCAATTTTTTTAAGTGTATTAAAAACCAAGTGACAGTTCATTTCCGTTGACATGACTCTTCCAGAAGTGGATGCTGTTAATGTTGTTTCTGTGGAAGGGGGCCCGTTTCTCGTGATTCTCCTGCCATTTGAATCTCCTCCTCTCCCGGGGTCTCTGGATGCTTGGAATAGACTTCTATGCCCACGTATACTCCCTACTCCCAGTCCCCTCTTCCATTCTGGGTGGGACGCAGACAGGATAAAATTTGTTTCTCCTTTTCTTTCTCCCCTGTAGGCTGGCCGAACAGCTCTGTCCATCGCTCTGCACCCGCCTGCCCATGTGGAAATTGCAGGGCTTCTGCAGGCCCATGTGGAGCAGGGCAGGGCCCTGGGGCCATAGGGGCTGTGGAAGAACTGGCAGCCAGGAACAAACGGCCCCTTCTCTGGACTCCTCCCTCGCCCTTGGAGAGGGCATGGGTCACAGCGAGAGGGCCACCCCTCAAGAGGAAAAACTATGTCAAATATGCACATACATTCCTGTTGTGTAATTCTGCTCAGTAGGATGCTTTGTAGTTTTGCCTTAGGCCAAGCCCCCAGACAACTCAGGCTGCAGAGCAGGGTGCAAGGTGCAGGGCGCTTTGGTGTCATCTAAAATCCCGGATATCTTCAGCCTGGAATTTTTCATGACTCCACCCTTTGTAGCATTGCTTAGTGAGCCAGCAGGCAGGAGCACATTAGAAAAGCAATACTTTTTACATGGAATTTTAAAGTGCACCATCTTTTTGTTTTTTACTCAATTATGTATGAATATGTCCCCTTGACTATGCATGTCTAGAGAAGATGGGGGAGATTTAAACAGTCGTCCTGTCAGTCATTCTCTAGAGGATCATAGGAGAATCACCATGCAGACAGGTGACACCGAACAAACTCCATTTGGGGCCTGTGCCCACTTGGGGTGGAAAGAGAAATCTTAAATTCAGTCAAGGTAGAAAGAAGCACACTGGCGTCAGTGCCAGACCTACATCTAAACCACCTGTGAGTCATTTAGCAGCTCCAGTTTGCTCCACGGAAATTGGAATTAATCAGGAAATCCAATCCAGTGAAGCACACATGTATTTAGGCAATCAGTTACGTCAGCTATTCTGAAAAAAAAAACAAAAACAAAAACAAAAACAAAAACAAAAAAAAAACAAATGAATCAGAGTATCCTCCTGCGGATGGGTTCTTGCCATCCAGAAGTCCCGCATTTCCTCCATAGCTGTACCCATGGCCCTATGGTAATCCCAGCTCCTTCCAGCCCCAATGAGCAAACTGTGAGCCCACTGAGGTCCTGAGGTTTCTGCGGTCCCAGAGGGCAGACTCTTCTGGCCTGGGTCACAGCAGGTGTGTGGGAGCCAGGCAGAGCAGGACTCCCCTGGGCTGGCGTCTCTCTCCCCTGCACAGTTCTCTCTTAAACTCCCGTAATCCCAGGACTCATACGTATGTGGCCCATATTCAGTAACTCACACAGGGTCATCTACAAATTTGTTCTTTCTTAAAGTCTCTTATGCACAAAATCACCTTAAGTGAAAAAGAGAGACATCAGAGTTCAGTGAGTCTCACATTGGAAACACAAAATCTTGAGATCTTATTTTGACTGAGATGCCAATTTGCTTGGTGCCCCTTGGGTGAGTCACAAAACCTCCTTGGGCCTTAGTTTCATTGTTTTTAAAAACGAAACTTACACAACCTACCTCCTGGGGGTGTTGTGCAAGGCACAGATGATGGAAGTTTGGGAATCCACTTTCAATCCAAGAAGACGGGATACGGGTTTGCCATTAGGATTCACAAGAGAGGCTCACAGCCCCAGAGCAGGACACTGGCATGTGACGGAGTTGCTCAGAGGTGGCAAGAATGGAGCAATTAATAAGCTAAAAATGTTATATAAATGGGTTTGTTTTGACCTCAAAGCACACTTTAAGAGCAAAGCCCTACATCAATAAATATTTTAACCCAGTGCTTCTCAAACTCTGATATGTGCACAGATCTCCCAAGTGTAGTAGGTCTGGGGGAGGGAAGGGGCCTGATATTCTGCATTTCTAACCAGCTCCCAGGGGATGCCAATGCTGCTGGGCCACACCACACTTGGAGTATCAAGGCCCTGGCCTTTGACTGTTTGTATAGTAAAATGCTGCCCCTCAATCTTTTGTCTCAAAGTTTCTTTGCATTTCTCTGCTCTTGGTTCTTGGGAATTTGCCTTGAGTCTTATTTGCTATTATGGTTCTGCGGTCAGCAGTAGGGGGTCCGTGTCCTATGTTCATACTGTCACTTCACCATCTATTTGAGAAAATAGAATGGTGAGGAGGAAGCCCAGAATAATACAGGGGAGTCAATACAGGTACCAGAGCTAATCTGAGAAAATCAAGGGGGGCTTCCTGGAAGCAGAGGCATCTGAACTGAAAACAAAGATTAGTGAATGTCACCCAGAAAAGGAAGATGAGTAAGAGATGAGGTGAGGTGAGGTGAGAGTGCCAGATAGAGAGACCAGTGCTTGCCAGGGATGGACGACAAGACAGCAGACATTTGGGGACCTTCATCAGTTTAATAGGACCATGACATGGGGGTTGGGTGAAACACTGAGATAAAGGGTAGATTTGGAAGAGATGAGACAGATAAGACCTGTGGACAAGATCATAAAGTGCCCTAAGATTATGATAAAGCTTTGTTCTAAAGGCAATGGAAAGCTACTGAAAATCAAGTTCATGATGGAGAACTTTGTTCATCTAGCTCTCACTTAACACAGATTTATCAGGTACCCACTCCCTTCTAAGTGTTTACTATGTTTGGGGCTGGGTATATATGATAGGCAAGGTAGACAGAGAACTTACAGCTTAGGAGGGCAGGATGACAAGTTATCATGGAACAATATGATGCATGTAGTGACCAGGAAAGGACAAGGTGCATGGGGATACATAGGTGGGACCCTCATCCTGGTCTGAGGGAGGGGAGGGGCCCAGGGGGGCTTCCTAAAGAATATTTAAGCTATCTGGAGGATGAATGGACATCAGCCAAGTGACAGAGGAGCAAAGGAGGAAGCATGCATAAAACCTCTATGGTTTTATGGACAAGGGAGAACACTGATTTGAGCATTAAAAGAACAGAAGGGGAAAAAGGAAGGAAGGAAGGTTCCCAGATGAAGCCAGAGAGAAAGCCAGTGTACCAAGTTTGGAACACAGGAAGCAACGCTCAGATTTAGATTTTAGAAAGTGTATTCCATGGGGAGGTGGGGGCGGCAGGATGAGTGACATTTATTCAACAAGCATTTGTGGACTATCTATTCTGGGTCCCAGACTCGAGGGTTCCTGGTCTGGTGGAGGATACAGGCACAGGCTGGCAACAACTACGAACAGAATGAGTAATGCAGGTCTGAAGAGTGCTGTGGAGACGTTCCCGGCCGGAGGGAGTCAGGGAAGCCTCACACAGGAGGTGGCTTTGAGCTAAGCCACAGGAGGCAGAGGGAGGAGTTTGTCAGGCCAATCTGGACAGAACAGTAAGTACAAATATGTGAAGTGTGAAAGACCATGGGCTGACTGGCAATGGAGAGAATTTCAAAATGACCTCAGTTTAGGTTGCACGGGGCAAGTGACTGAAGAGTAGAGTTAAGAGGAATGTTAGTAGATATACCTGTAGGCTGGGATCAGGAATTTGGATTTAAGCCTATAACTTGAAGAGGAATCAGGGACCTCTTTGAGAACCTGAAGCTTTCTTTAGAAAAATGCACATAAATTTGCAAAATCCGCATGTAATGTCAGGAATTCAGAAATCTACAGTTAAAATCTCAATGCTGTGGACAGCGGGGAGCCATTGAAGAATTTCTACACAGTGGAGCCAGATCAGATTTGCACATTAGAATGTTCACAGAGGGAGGCTGGAGAGAGACTGGAGGTGAGGGGGTCAGGTAGGAGGTGATGCTGAGACACTGGGTACAGAGTGAGCAGTAAGGGCCTGGCCCACCACGGCATGGTGGGAAGGAGAGGCCCATATGCGGATGTGCCAGTATGTGATGACAAACTGGATGGTGGAGAGGGTCAAAATGAGTGACAGGAAAATGGTGACACTATTGCCCCCAATATCCAGTCTTCCTTGGCTCCTTGGTAATAGAATCCCCAATTTTTACCTGGACATATGACCACACAGAATAGACTCCATCTCCCAGCCACCCTTGTAGCTTAATGTGGTCACGTAACTAAGTTCTGGCTAATGAGATGTGAGTGAAGGGATGTATGCAAACGTTGACTCCTGTGTTCAAAGGAAAGGGAAGTGCACTTTCCCTCCCCACTGGCTGGAACATGGTAACAACCCATCTTGGTCCAGTGAAGATGTGGCCCACACCCTAGGGATCATACAACAGCAAGTCAGAAAGAGTTTAGGCCCCAACACCATAAACCCAAATCTTCTCTGGACTGTTTATTTCCCATTTGATATGTAATCAAGAAATAATCTTGCCCTTACTGGTGTGGTTTAGTTGGTTGGGCATTGTCCTGCAAGGCAAAAGGTTGCCTGTCTGATTCCCCAATCAGGGCACATACCTTAGGTTGTGGGTGTGTTCCTCAGTCAGGGTGCATTTGAGAGGCAACTGATAGGTGTTTCTCTCCCTGTCTTTCTCCCTCCTTTTCCCTCTTTCTAAAAATAAATAAGTAACTTTTTTTAAAAAAGAAAGAATCAAACATTTAAACCATTGTACCTTTGGATCTCTTCCGCAGCAGGAGGTAGACAAATGCTCTCGCCTCCGAAAACAATCGCAGGGATCTAACACCATGGTTCTTGAGTTCCAAGGTGGAAAAGTTTGAGAAGGCTTTCACAAAAATCGTCCTTTTGTATCCACTCACAGTGCCAGCTCCTGTTCAATGCCCATAGTAAAATCACCCAGCCCTATGCTCTGCAAAGGATGCAGCCTTGCGTTGCCCTGGAAGATTTCTGAGCACAGGTTCTGCACCCAGGGCAGCCAGTCCTTAAGCAAAACAGTGCCTATGACTCCATTTCCCAGACACCCTTGTAAGCAAAAAAGCTGGCCTGGTGTGGAAACTTGGGCATTCGAACCCATTTCAATTGGCCGAGAAATTTGAATGAGGAAACATGCAGAATTTTAGGCAGTACCAGTGGGTTATAGTTAGAGAGTGAGAAGTCATGAGGTGGAGTGAGACATGAAAAAAAGATGTAAAATTTGCACACGTGGAGGTGAAGACAGGTTGAGAGTATGAGCAAGGAGCAGCTCTGTGTAGAGAAAAGGTGGAGAGAGAAGAATCAGGCTTTTGAGTAGGTCCCTGGGGACTGTCTGTCAGGTCTTCCTTTCCCAGGAACGTTCCCTTTGCAGCCCCCTCCACCACCCGCATGACCGCAGCAGAAGCTGCCACATTCCTACAAGAAAACTTGGTCCCTGGTCATCAAAGGATGGACCCTGGACATTACCTGGGCCTAGGCCAATCAGACCCTCCCCCCAGGAATTTCAGAGCTGGGATTTAGGAGAGAGATTTGGTCTCATTCTGAGTATCTAGGTCGTAATATGGATCTCAGAAGCTACTTACTAGTGGCTGGTTCAGCCTTGTAAACCAGGAAGCAAAAGGGAGTCTTCAGTCAAAAAGACTGAAGCAGACTCCCTGGATTCACCAGAGCAACCCTAGTTCCTTCCCTAAGTCCCAGTAGATTCCCACCCTTCCAGTCCGTGACTACCCTACCTGCTTGCTTTCCCCAGTCTTCTCTCCGGGTTGTGTAGCATGGTGTCCGGAATCAGCTACCTCAGGTGTTGAATCCCATTTGGCCAATTGGGCTCTTGATCTGTGAACCGGGGTATAGTTCCTTTCTTCTGTTCTTGTGTGTGGTTAATCAGTTAATGTGCCCACATAGTGTGTGGCCCCTGTGGCAGAGCTCAGTATAGAGTACCTCCCCTTTACCCTGGCCATTTGGCCCTTTCCCCTAGACCTGGCCCCATGAAATAGCAGCTTGCCTTCACTGGGTACCTAGAATGACCCAGATACCAGTCCTAAGGGCATGACATGAAATTATTTACTCCTCACAATAACCCAGTGGGGCAGGTTGATATTATCCTTGTTGTACATATGAAGGAACTGAAGCACAGAGAGGGTAAATAACTTATTCAAGGCTGCACAGCTGGGCAAGGCTGAACAGATCTTGGATTTGAAGCCAAGAGATCTGGCTCTGGGACTGCACTCCTGCCACACATCCGGAGCTCATGCTTCCTTGCCAGTGACTTAGGCTTTGGAGAGGTGCCCAGCAGCAGGGGGTAGACACTCCAAGGGAACAAAGCTGCTTCAGGGACTCAACATTAAGTCAGTGGCTGACTTGGAGGTCCAGCTGGGTGGCCCCAGGACAGAGCAGACATATAAGCAGAGTGTTTGGGATTGGAACAGCTGAGGGGTCGGGACCTCAGCATCCCTGGGGAAGAAAGCAGCTTTCTGTCCAGGATACAGATGGTCTCAACCCCACATTGCCTCAATTGCCCCCTCAGAAGGGAATTCCCTGTAGTTCCAACTCAGTTCCATCACCCCTCTTCCATCCTGAGAGATGGGCCTGGAACAGAGGGAGGGAATCCAGCCAGGGAAGGGGGTGGGGGTTAGGGGATCCAGCCTGCCTTCCTCTCCCTGCCATCCCCCCTCCACATCCTTCTGTGCTCCATGAGGGAAAGTTTCTGGGTCTTTGCTCTGAATCCAATGAAACCATTCTGTTGTTAACTGCAGGGTGGGGGGAGGACATTCTCCAATCCTCATGTTGCCTGAGAAGTAAGGAAATTGCTACTCTTCTCCCCAGAAGGGAAAACTAGGGAAGAAACTGTCATTAGACACCACCCCACCATCCCAGTAGGCAGATCAGAAGCGGGAACAAAGCAAAGCTCACACCCTTTCTCTGTCCTGCCAGCTTGCAGAGAGGACAACCCCCTGTATGCTCTCCATTCCTGTCAGCTCAGGTCTGTGGGAGACTGAATTCTGACAATGATTCTAATGTGGGGGTTGGGGAGTGTGTTTGCCCATATCCAGCAATTCCCCAACACCAGCGCAGTGCCCTACCATTCAACTCAGTTCTGACACTACCTGGATATAGCATCAGATCCCACAGACTAAGGGTTCGATCCTATAAAATTGCCCCCACCCCACCCCCTTCAGACATCAATTGCAAGTCCAAGTTGA